GACATCGTTTGCATTAGAATAATTAGGGTTTTTGCATTCTGTGCTATTATTACTACTGCAACAGTATTCGCCTGACCTCAACTCTTTTTTTTTTTTTTTTCAGACATGTTTAAAACTCGTAATTCTAGATATTACTTGACTGTAAAGGCTGGGGGACGTCTGCTCTTAAATGACCTTCGTTAACCTCAAATCTATAGCATTAGGGGTTCAACTATTGCATATGCTATCAGACCTTTTGAAAAAAATGTATTGGAGGTGATTAGTCGGAAATCATCCCAAAAAAGAAATAGAAATTGTTAACTTTGACTCCAACGTTCAATCTTCCCCCACTTTAGATCTTCAGTGCTGCAGATTTGTGCGAGCGAAAACGGGTTGAAGCGGATTTGTGCAGTGTGAACTTGTTGGAAACGGGGCACAGAAGCAAAGGATATGGAATTGTGTCTGTGATAAATGGTGTAAACAAATATCATTCTGATACTTTCAGGTGTTATGATGTTCTTATGTAAAGTTCTTTTACATAATAAAGTCATTAGATTTAAAAGTCACCAAGCTTGCGTTTGTTTGAAATGTTATTGCAATTTAAAATAGCCGTTTTTATATTTTAAATGGAGGATTTCTGGGATGCAAAGCCGAGTTTTCAGCATCATTACATGCAATGTGCAATTAACATAAAAAATAAATGTAATTAATGTTACACTCTAAAAAACACGGGGTTATTTTTTAACCCAAATCTTAGGTTGAGGCATTTGGGTCATTTTTGGGGGTTATTTTCAGAGTCTTGGGTAGTTTCAACCCAGCTCTTTGGGTCAAATCAACTCACAGCAGGGGCTGACTGGGATACCACATATTATGTACTAATTTGTTTAAATGCAATGAAAATAGTGTAACATAAACGCAGATTCCTTGAGTTTTCAGATCATTAAAATGAGATTTATGCTCATGGCAGTCCTTAGTCGGACCGTTCTGAATTAAAAAATGTATTATTAGCACCTTTTGTACACCTGTAATCAAAGCTGCACATCCCCTACTGTATTTCAGTGATGCCGAGTCAAAACAACACAATTGCTGGGTCATCTTTTGCTAGCATTTTTGGATTAAATAAACTATTTTAAAGAGCCCATATTATACATGAAATAGGGTCATATCTTGGTTGTAAGGGTCTCCAACAACAGTCTAATATGCATGCAAGGTCAAAAAACACTTTCATGGTCTTATAATCTGCATTTATTTTTACCTAATTATCGCAGCGACTCCTGTATGAATCGTCCAGTGATTCATTTGTTCCCAAACCCCTCCTTAGCGCGAAGCTAATCTGCGCTGATTGGACCGATGACAGTCTGTCGCGATTGGTCGACTGCCTTCAGTCAGAGAGGGAAATGGCCAATAGCTAATCAGCAATTTAAAAAGTAATCACAGTTCATACACGCTCGATAGTGTAGGCGTGGATTTTAGCTGCCACACTATGGCGAGTGGAGAGTGCCACGGATAACCGAACGAAGGAGACAGTCGTGTACTCGCCATACCACACACACACAAAAACACACACACACCTCCGGATGACAACGCTCCCGCTTCAGCCCGCACCCGCCAGGTTTTAGCCTGAGAACCAGCTCCGTTTTCTGCCCGCCGCGTCCGATCCCGCTAGAGCGGAGAACACAACCAAATATCACCCAGTATACAGTCCAGACAGCCAAGCTGTCTGTATAAAAACACACACACAGCACAAAGTACACAAAGCTCGTTCGTTCGTTCGCTCTCTCTCGCTCTCTCTCTCTCTCTCTCTCTCTCTCTCCCTGCGCCAGATTTCTGCGGCGCGGGAATAAATTTCCGAATAAATCGCGGGAGCAGAACTCTAGCACGGAGCTCCATAAACAAGCAGCACGCGTCGCGTTTTTAACGTGACTTTGCACGCGATAAGATAATATATCCAGTTAACCTGATACAGTACACGCGGTTACAAGTAACAAATCACAACTAAATACATTTGCAAGCTATAGTAAACGAGGCAACAACTTTAACCGCACGTACTTACACTTGAGAAATGGAAGAAACCCATCCTGACGTCCATCAGTTACTCTTTACTGATCCTTCCTTTAACAAACTCAGATGAAGTATTCTTTGTAGCATGTAGCTTCCAGAAGTTTCCAACTGCTTGGTTATAATGCTGATGTTTCATCTTTGGGTAGAGACTCAATATAATGTCCATCTGCAGTGTTACTTTAATCGACCGGCATGTTTGTGTGCGTGTGTTTGTGTGTGTGTGTGTGTGTGTGTGTCTGGGTTTCTGCGTCAGAGGGCGGGGCCTCAGGTTTGAAATCTCCCGGGTTTGCGCGTGCACGTGAATAACTTGGTTTCGTTCGTACGTCATGGCGAAACACCTAATGAGTCGGTATCAAGGCGACTCGTTTGAAGCACTATGAGTCGACTCTTTTATAGATGAATCAACCGTTTTAAACACTGTACTCTTACAGATTTAAGCCTTAGCTGGATACTTCACTTCACTTAGAGCTGTGTTACACACTACATGGAGGGGAATTTTCAAAAACCCATAATATGGGCTCTTTAAGTAAAAATAACCAATTATTGGGTAGAAAAACAACCCATTTATGATGTTAAAAATAACCCTATTACTTGGGTTAATTTAACCCCTGAGGTGTTCTGTCCCATATTTACCCAGCAGTAGGGTTAAAAACAAACCAAATTTGGGTAGTTTTTAACCCTGTGTTTTTATGTGAGTAGACCCACATGGAATCTGTGCGCGCTCAATTCTGCAGATTTCCAGCCCATCGAGTCTATTTACTTGTTTAAATGGGTGTATGTTTGTATTTTGTCAGTTTTGAAAGTAATTTCCGTGATATTGACTATTGAAAATGTTCATATGATTAATTTACAATGCAGTTTGTAGAGTAAGATTTAGTTTAGTCTTTTACTGGATATACTATATGAGAGACTTGCTTTGGTTACAAAGTAACTGTATCTAATTGGATTTGCATTGTAAACTTTAAATACAAGTTAAAAAAGGATTATTGTTTATTTCATATATTAAGTTATTAGCTATGATACTCCCAAAATCAGTCTGCATAAATCTACAGATTTTAACAAAATTCTGTGCAGAAATGGCAAAAAAAGTTGCCATTTTGATTCTGTCTAGCCTAGTCATGAGTTATGAATTTGTTTAACTGAGATTTTTTTTAACACATTTCTAAACATAATACGTTTAATAACTCATCTCTAATAACTGATTTATTTTATCTGTCATGATGACAGTACATAATGTTTGACTAGATATTTTTCAAGACACAGATACAGCTTAAAGTGACATTTAAAGGCTTAACTAGGTTAATTAGGTTACAAAAAAAAAACAAACAAAAAAACAACAACAGCTTAACGGGGCTAATACTTTTGACCTTAAAATGGTTCATAAAAAATTCTAAACTGCTTTTATTCTAGCCAAAATAAAACAAATCAGACTTTCTCCAGAAGAAAAAATATACATTACTGTGAAAATGTCCTTGCTCTGTTAAACATCATTTGGAATATATTTAAAATTGAAAAAATAAATATAATAATCATAATTCAAAGGGGGGCTAATAATTCTGACTTCAACTGTTTGTGTGTATATATATATATATTCAATTAACATAAATCAATAGTAAATATAACAAGAAAAAATATTCATGCTAAAACATTAAATGTTATAGAAAGCAAAAATTAAACTTTCTCAAGCATCAACATATTGTTACATCAATTTATATTTTTTTGATTGTATTTCTTGATAAGTAATGCTTTAATTAATGATTTGCCAGGTGGAACCTTATAATTCCAAGAGAAAAACAACTTTATAAAAAATCAGAAGCTTCTATCTGCATTTGCTGTTTGTTTTATCCCAATTTGCGATTGTAAGAGAATTTGAATAATTTACATTTGGAGTACATTTAGTGTTTGTCATGTTAATGTATAAAAGAGAACTGTTATAGACATATTGTTTGCTACATGGAATGCCAAAACTTTGAACCTCAATATCTCAAAATCATTCAGAACTCGGATAGAACCTTATAATTCTAGGGCGAAGATATATCTATATCTATATCTATATATCTATCTATCTATCTATCTATCTATATCTATATCTATATATATATATCTATATCTATCTATATCTATATATCTATATCTATATATATCTATCTATATCTATATATATCTATATATATATATCTATATATATATCTATATCTTTATATATATATATATATATATATCTATATATATATATCTATATCTTTATATATATATATATATATATATCTATATATATATATCTATATCTTTATATATATATATATATATATATATATATAACAAAAGCAAATCTTGCAAAGCAAATATTTTAATTTTCTATGAATTTATGCGATTTTTAAATATTTCTAGGTTTTCTGTATTTTCTGATGAAATGTGATACTTTATAATAAAACATTTTAACTATTAAAAAAATACATGTGTATTTAAAAAAATAGAATGAATTATTAATGACCCAAAATGCAATAAAAAAATTTAAATACCAAGAAATACTTTATGAAAATTCATAGAAAATGTAAATATTTAGTTTGCAGGATATTACTTTTGTGCTTTAGTTTTCATGTTAAAAACCTGCCTGTGAAAATGTAGATTATTAAAACAAAAAAAGTCACTCTAACAATTTGCACCGAATTTATTGAACCATGTTTAAGTTTGATGCCGATGTCTCTTAATTTACTGAAAATTGGAAATTAGTCTGAAAGTTTGAAGTTAGTCTTGCTAAACAAACTATTAAAAACTGCACATCGACACAGGTTTACCTTAACATTACTTTTAACTAGTTTCTGTAAGATGTCATTTGGTCTGGTATTGTTTCCTACTTTGCCCTGTGTTCTTTTATAAGCAGAAGACAATAACCTGCAAAAAAAATAAAAATAAAAATAAATAAAAATCACATCACAAAATTCTAAATCTTGACTTAATTTAGTATTTCTTTAATACAGAAATGGTTAACAGAAACTCACATATGTATTTAGACATTGAAAAGAAGGCAACAGGGTGAAAAATGATGACAATAATGCTTTGAATTCAAAGCATGTCACGCCTATAAGATGGAAGAAAAAAATAAAGGTATCCAATCGCCAGAATGTAATGAACCGTCCATGCCAAACTGAGCAATGATATCGTCTTATGTCAGAGTATCTTCACTTCTGATATATTCTCCAATATCAGCCTGATGGAAAACCACAATAGCCATGGGGTCGACTTTCCTGCACTCCTGTGTTGTTCTCGCTGCAACTCCAAAACCCTGAAATCAGATGAAAACGGTAAAACAACAGCATACTTCTCCCAAACATTACCAGAGTTATAAGACTTTCAAAAAGAAGTGTAGGAATATCTTACGAGTGGTACGTCAGCCATTGAATACACCAGCACTCCCTGGTACTTGTCTGTGTTTTCTGTGATTCTGCCCAGGCCGGACTTCATGATGTGGTTTCCGTACAGGAATGATTGCTCCGATCCCGGCTTCACCCACACCTTAAACTACATCACATCACATTGTGTATTACTGATATGAAAACAGCCAGTTTGTTGCAAGTTGAAATGAAAGAGAAGTTTTGATTGTTGATAACTATTCCTTATTGTGATGTACAGTTTAGGTAAAACTGCTTCATGAGTGAATAAAAAGTAGGGCGAGACTTGATTGTCCAAATAGATGGAAACTAATTTGATGGTTGTGGTTTGCACGATACTGGAATTTTAAAAATATGTAAATTTCCTGCTGTTGAGCGCATTCTTAAACAGGGCTGATTTGCCGTTGTGTTCACATGCTCAACAGAAATGACTGTGATTGGCCTCGAAGCTCAACAGATCACAGAATTCACTGCTGTTTACTGCGTGTAACAACAGATACAGGAACACTGATTTTTATTAAGTAAAACTGGCCTTAGACGTTTTTTTTTGTTTTTTTTTACTTATTTATATGACATGGACATCACAATTACACTGGACAAGAGGGTTAGGCGATGTCAATAAATTTGGCATTGCAAGTTGTCTAATGTGAAACATCGCGATGGGCGATGGCATCATCATCTTGTAAAAAGCAGGGCCGAGGGGGTTGAGCTTGATAGAGTGCACGCGGAGCGAGGAGGGATCCGAGGGTGAGAAGGACGCGCAACTTATTTGAGGAGCGGGAGGGAGCCACACGATTATCACTCGTTTTGCGGGCATTATGAGTCCCGCAAATGCAAAGAGACTTCCGGAACTTCCAGAATCCCAACTTCCAGGAGACTTGGAATGTCTGAATATCACGTTTAACAACTATAGTGAGACGCGATTCAGTGCTACATCCTTCATAAACTGTCCGACATGCACTGCTCTCTGGAGCTCAGAGGAGCGCATGACAGTGTGTGTGTGTGTGTGTCTGTGTGGTCACGTGATGTGCGTTTTCAGCGGATGGAGGGCTGTTCAGAAATGTTTTTATAGAAATGTCACATACCCTGCCGTAAGTTCAGGTGTAGTTCACTGTCAGAATGCAGTTGTTTTGCTTGATGATTACCCAGGCCTTGTATAACGTTAGCTACGTCTTTTTTCCTTGTCTTTGGCTAGGCAGAACCTCGGTTTTTAATGAGATTGAGATTAATTAGAATCATCAATGAAATTGTATATTTGGAGCTGGATGCTTCGCCATTTTGTTTTATCCAATATCCATTGGGATCCTATCGCAAATGGACCAGTCAGATGAACGCTGCTCACTTTAACGTTAATTTTGCCGAATCACTGTGCTTATCACTGGGTGACAAGCTGTTAGACTACGTTGAAAGCATTATGTAAATAATAATTATTCGATATAAATTATTTTTAAGACAACAACGAACTCTACCGTATCGGATGTCATTCCCTCGCTGTAAATGCTAGCGCTCCCTGTTTTTTTTTCTGCCACCTGCCTGTGCGCGCATCTTGAATGGTTACAAACATCGTAATTCATCTATATAGTAGGCCTATAGGTGTGTAATTTTCACTAAAGAAGATAAATTATACCAGAACTATGTTAATATATACAAAAAACGGTATCGGTCGATACTCAGAATTTTGGCATCGAGATGAGATCGGTTCCAAAAGAATGGTATCGGTGCATCCCTATTTGTGATTTTTATTCCTTTTTTTGCAAACTTTGAAAAGATTTGTTTCCTGTTAGGATGCTAAACCGGCTATGGTTACTGTAAAAAAATTTACATGATCAAAACTAAATATGTACCTTAGCATACGGTGCGAGGAAATCGAGAGCTGTGATGTGCAGGCGGAACTTTTGTGTCTTCGTGAACTTTCCGAAACACGTGCCAACTGATACCAGTTTATCTCTGGAGACATTTGTTGCCAACTTCAGGATTTTTTCACTAAAATGGAAAACAAATAAATTACAGATTACTTATTCACATTTGCAACTTTCATACATTTTATCATCTGTAGCTCTTTTTACCATCGAGAGATGTAGCTAAAGATGGACCTCTTTTATTGGTGGATTTTCAATACAGCATCATGGGTAATGTAGTTTTTTCCACACAAATTCCGCTACTATACACGACATTTCTGAAAATTATTTAGATTACTTTGAACAAATTGGATCAACAAAAGTTTATGAGATATATTAAAAACTCATTCCATTTGAAGAAAATTAATGGATTTTTTTTTACTTGCAGAAAAGTATTGTGCTCTATTCTGTTCACTTTGAGGTCAACTATATGTAAATGTACTGCTAAATACTGAATAAATTGAGACCTAAATATTAATTACTTGTATGGTCAAAATCCAATTAACTTTGTTTAAGATCTATCTCTCCGATTGGTGGATTTTCAATACAGCATCATGGGTAATCTAGTTTTTTCTACACAAATTCCGCTACTACACATGACATTTCTGAAAATTATTTAGATTAATTTGAACAAATTGGATCAACAAAAGTTTATGAGAACTCATTCCATTTGAAGAAAATTAAAGTTTTTTTTTACTTGCAGAAAAGTATTGTGCTCTATTCTGTTCACTTTGAGGTCAACTATATGTAAATATGTAAATGTACTTCTAAATTGAGACCTAAATATTAATTACTTGTTTAGTCAAAAGCCAATTAACTTGGTTAAAGATCTATCTCTCTGATTGGTGGATTTTCAATATGGCATTATGGGTAATGTAGGTTTTCTGCATGAATTCAGCTATTACACATTGTTGTTCTGAAAATATTTCCATTAATTTGAACAATCAACATAGGCATATAAAATTAATTCCCTATGGAGAAAATGATTGTGTTTTGCTTTAATTGCAGAAAAGTGCCCTATTCTGTTCAACTATATGCAAGTGTACTTCCAAATACTGACTAAATTACTCTGGGACCTAAATATTAATTACTCGTCTAGTTAAAAGCCAATTCACTACTTAAAGGAGCAGAACATTTCAACAGGAAAAGCTAGCTCACATTATACTTTATTTATTTTCTAAGATAACAGACAATCTTACCTCATATAATATACTCGATCATTATGAAGTCTGAAACAGTAAGTCCCATCCGGCCGATCGATAAGAAGCTTGATGTTCTCCCCAATGCTGGACACAATTCATTTATATACCATTAAATACCATTAATGTTGCAGTCATGTAAACATTTGCAGGTCTATTGCACAGCGCACATACACAATATTTATGTAAATCACCCTTGAACTGCCTGCTCTACCAAATGTTTGACCATATTTTGACTGTTTTAAATATTGGCTGTTAAAATCATCTAAAGAATGACTGTTTTAAATAACACACACACAGCATTGATGGCTTACAAAGAAATCAAACAAACATAATCCTGTTGCACTACTACACATGATTTTGGTTTTATTGTGAGAGAAAAAACAAGAAAACATGTTCAAAGAGAATCTGAAATATTTGATGGCATACTTAAAAAAGATGATTTAGTATTCAAAAATGTTATATTTAGATTTTTTTTTTATAAATTGGTCTTACACTTCATATTTTCAGATTTTTTATAGTATATTTAATAATTCCGGTACTTTTACTATAATCTGACATATCAACCATTTGGTAATTTTAAAAAAATGTATTGAGTGTGTTAACTAGCAACATTAGTAGGAGCTAAGAAATGCAATGGTGGGGCAGTTAAAGGGATAAGAATTATACTTATAGAAGAAGCAATTATACAAATAAGAGTTATAATAATACTAGTACAGTGCATGTCATGTATAATTGAGGTAAAGTTGGTTTTATATTTTCACATTCGTTCATTTTTGAACAGTGACACCTTGTGACATGCTCCCAATTAGGCCTGAGCAATTAATCGATATTAAATTGCAATTGCGATTTGAAACGTTGCGATTACCTAATCACAAGAGGCTGTGATATGAAATATATATGAGCAATTCCGGCGTTATGGATGTGACATCTGCAGTAAAAACTCAAAACATAAATTCACATAGAAAGTATATGTTAACATTATATTGAAACTTTTGTTTATATTTTCCAGAACAACTGACCACAGAGTAATGGGACCAGAAAATATCAATCTGTTAAGATGTTTTGTACTTTAAATGGCGAAAATAATCATGCGTTATGGATGTGACAAAAAAAAGTCTTTGAGTTTACAGTATACAACGTGCTTTGTAGAAATTCTGTGAAATAAACTGCACAACCCAAAAGATACAATAATAATCAAAAGGATAAGACTTGGTTCACTATAAATAAAATGATTGGTTTTGTTCTATTTAATATTTTCACATTTATGAGGAAAAAGTGTCGTTATGGATGTGACGTCTCTCTGTTAGAGATGTGGCAGATGTGAAATTGCCACTTGTGTGACTTTGGTAAATCAAATAGAATTGTTTGAAAACATTCACAGGTGCATTTTTGAGTATTTTTAAAGTACTTTAAAATACTTGCTTACACAAAAAAACCAAGAAACGATTTTCGTATTTTAGTGAAAACTTCATTATTTTCATGAAAAGGTTGACATTTGCATGGAATTGCTCAAGTATTATATAAATTTCCCCTCAAAGAGTAAATGCGCAACTGCCGTCTGTGTGTGACAGTCTTACTAGCCAATTGAGTGAGCACACTTTCGTTCTTCCGCCCAATCAGAATTGCACAATCGAACTATGTGGAAAACCCACAAAAAAACAGGAAAGCGTGGACGAGTGGGATGACGGCGCCTGCTGCTTCAGAAGCATTAATAGACAAATTCACATCAAAGAAATACAGCATGTTGATAATATGGGAATATTTTGGTTTCATTTGTATGAGCTGCCACAGAATTGTTGCCACAGCACGAACAAATACAACATCCCATTTAAGAATAAAGTTATGTTAAAACCAAGCACACCATTGTTTTCTTTGTGAAATTCCCAATAAGTTTATTAAGGTGTATCCATATGAATGGCCCACCCTGTATTTTCAAATAATACATTTCTGAAATTATATTAGGTGGCGCAGTGGGTAGCGCTGTCACCACAGCAAGAAGGTCACTGGTTCGAGCCTCGGCTAGGTCAGTTGGCGTTTCTGTGTGGAGTTTGCATGTTCTCCCAATGTTCGTGTGGGTTTCCTCAGGGTGCTCCGGTTTACCCTAGTACAAACACATGAGGTATAGGTGAATTGGATAGGATTAATTGCACATAGTGTATGTGTGTGTATTAGTGTGTATGGATGCTTCCCAGCAATGGGTTGCAGCGGTAAGGGCATCCACTGTGTAAAAAATATGCTGGATAAGTTGGTGGTTCATTCCGCTGTGACGACCCCTGATTAATAAAGGGACTAAGCCGAAAAGAAAATTAATGAAATTATATTAAAAAGGAAGTCTGAAAGTGTGAATATAAAACCAACTTTAACACCATGTTACCTTAATCCATGTAAATCACAAGTATAAACAGTGCACACAAAAATAAAAATTAAAGTTACCATGAAATTTTAAAAATAAAAATCCAAGAGTGACTAATATAACACAACTTAGAAGCATACAATAATTACTAAAACACGGATTAATTTAATAAACAAAACAATAACATTTCTTGAATCCACGTTGAATCAATTCATGTAAATCACAAGTGCAAACAGTGCAAAATAAAAATAAAATCCTACTGAATATTAAAAATAAAAACCCAGAAGAGACTAATATTACACCACTTATAATAATACACTGATTAATTTAATAAACAAAACAGAACAACCGTTGAGCTTTGCAGCTTGACACATGGACATAATCTGGCTAATAGCGTTACATTCCTGCTATAAACAAGCGACATAGCGTGTCACTTACTATTTAGAGAGTTTCTCGAACATCGTTTTCGTCTCTTCGTCTGTTAACGGACGCATTATGAAAATTAATAACTATTTTATTTCCAGATGACCGTAGATCTGAAAAAACACAACCGCTCTCGCAGTGTGTACGCCACGTGGGTTGGATCTGTCGCACGCCTGTGACGTCAACCTGTTTCAATAAAGTTTTCTGACGACTTCCGTATCAACACTTCTAATCATGGCTGCCGTAGACGTGGAAGATGAGAGTATCCTGGCTTCAATATTTAAAGATAGTTTTCCCGAGAATTGGAGGGAAAATCCGGATTTCGCCGCGTATCTGTCGCAGCTGAGCGCCTGCGGCGTGGATGAGCTGACGCGCGAGCCCGAGCGCCTGTCAGAGGAGCGCGCGCAGATCCTCCAGCAGACCCGAGAGCTGGCCTTCACTAACTACAAGACTTTCATCAGGACTGCTGACTGCACACAACACATCTACACTGACTTCAGCACAGTGGAGAACTGCCTATCTAAACTGCTGCACAAGCTGCCCAGCTTTACCGAGAAATGCAGGTTTGTGTTCACTCTCACTGACGGTAAAAGTTGGTTGGCACATTCGGCCAGTGACAGCTAGTGACACGGTCTCTGTTATTGTTTACCATGCTACTTTAAATATTCAAATATATATATATATATATATATATATATATATATATATATATATATATATATATATATATATATATATAATATTTGAATATATCTGAAATTGCATGTAAGTATGACTTTAAAACAGCAATAGCACTGTTTAATTGACTGTAAACAATGTTGTAAATGTTAGTCATTGGGTAAAGTCTAGAAGGGATACAGCTGCGGATACTCGCAACAATATAGCTATAATTTGTTACACCACAACAATATTTAATATTTCACATTACTGTGAGGTTGAGGCATGGGTAGACGTTCATAAAATACAATTTAATTAATGGGTAATTAAATAAATAATATGATTGATACGCTCTAAAATTACTTTTTTTATTTTTGCTGTGAGGGTTTCTTTGCTAGCCAATGTAACAGCAACAGCAAAGTACAATTTCAGAGTCGTGTCAGCCATGTTAGTTTGCTAAGTGCTCTGTATTTTTATTATTATTATTATTATTATTATTTTAATAAGCTTCACTATCTCCCTAATTTGAGTTCAACTAGTTTACAGAAAGTTAAGATCACTTTATTTGTGTTTGCTATTTGCTCCAGAGAAAAATGAGTGTTTCATTTATAAATATTTAAAAATAAATTTGAATAAATGTTTGAGTAAGTTAATATCTTTTCAGTTCATTTTTTTAACTAACACTCACTGCATTTAGCAGTAAGAAGCTACGATACAGATTATTGAGCTGAAGCTTGACTACAAAATTAAATCGCCAATCAAATCGAAAACGCAATATCTGTCTAAAAAATTGCAGTTGTGGCAACAATTCTGTGACAGCTCATACAAATGAAACCAAAATATTCCCATATTATCAACATGCTGTATTTCTTTGATGTGAATTCGTCTATTAATGCTTCTGAAGCGGCAGGCGCCGCCATCCCACTCGTCCGCGCTTTCCTGTTTTTTTGTGGGTTTTCCGCATAGTTCAATTGTGCAATTCTGATTGGGCGGAAGAACGAAAGTGTGCTCACTCAATTGACTAGTAAGACTGTCACACACAGACGGCAGTTGCGCATTTACTCTGGGAGGGGAAAATTATATAATACTTGAGCAATTCCATGCAAATGTCAACCTTGCCATGAAAATAATGAAGTTTTCACTAAAATACGGAAACAGTTTCTGGTTTTTTTGTGTAAGTAAGTATTTTACAGTACTTTAAAAATACTCAAAAATGCATCTGTCAATGTTTTCAAACGATTCTATTTGATTTACCAAAGTCACACAAGTGGCAATTTCACATCCGTCACATCTATAACAGAGAGACGTCACATCCAATAAATGTTTTAGTAAGTTAATATCTTTTCAGTTCATTTTTTAACTAACACTCACTGCATTTAGCAGTAAGAAGCTACGATACAGATTGAGCTGAAGCTTGACTACAAAATTAAATCGCCAATCAAATCGAAAACGCAATATCTGTCTAAAAAATTGCAGTTAGATATTTTCCCCAAATTGCACAGCCTTCATGTACGGTAAAACCGTATACTGAGGTAAAATAGGGAGATAGTTTGACGATATAAAAATCTGAATACCGCCCAAGCCTAGTATAAACTGTGAAATAAATAATAAAAATAAAGAAGGCTTTATATACATAAATGTGTAAATGTTAACAACTGTTTTGCATAATCTAGCAGGGAATGAAAAATGTGCAAAACTGTAGCAGCATATATGTGCAGTAATAATTATTAAAGTGACTAGCTTTCCGGGGGAATGTTCTCTTATTTATTTGCAGAGGCTTTATTAAGGAGGCCGATGAGATCAGCGTCAGCAGGCGTATGAACAGCCTGACACTGAATCGACACACTGAGATCTTGGAGATTCTGGAGATTCCTCAGCTGATGGACACGTGTGTTCGTAACGGATATTATGAAGAGGCGCTGGAGCTGGCCGCGTATGTCAAGAGACTGGAGAAGAAACATTCCTCTCTTCCTGTCATTCAGGTACATATGATATTGTTGTACATCAGTAATTGAAGATATAATAAACTAAGGCCGCACGTTTTGGAGAAAAAAATCTAATTGTGGTTTATCTGATCAAAATTGCGATTTGCGGTGGGTTTAACTGCACCAAAGAAAGACCAAGCATAATCACAATGTCCGCTACGCCAGGGGTTCTCAACTGGTTTGGCCATGGGACCCACATTTTTACATGGTCATTAAGCCGCGACCCAAATTTTTAGGAACAATAGTAAAATTTTAGGAAATTTAATTAATTTGTAATTATTTGTTAACATACACAAATACTGACAGATAAATAATAAGAAAATCACCAAGACTTACAAATAAACACTATTTTATTGCCATCATTTAACAAAATGCATCAAATTATAGAATTATTACAAAGAACAAACGACAAATACTGTAAACAGTGGTCAGGGTAAGGAAAGGTTCAGTTACCATTAACTAAACTGAATTGTTAATAAAACATGTCGTCTGGTTTCTAAATGTCGTTTTAATCTAGAAGGTTTCATGCTCTTGTGAGAGCACCTCGCTACTTATGACACACTGAGGCTTTAAGTCTTTTTTGTCGTCAATTTATGTAATCCATACTTTACATATTTAGGGTCGTACTTGAGCTTCGATATATTAGTTGTTATAATTAAATGAAATTTCACATGTCAAACGGTACGATTGTCGTGTACGCATTTCAAAATAAAAGTCAAAATAAGTTAAAAATTAAACTTTTGTTGTTTTTTTTGACCACACACTCAACGATATACTGAAAATGTTCCCGCGACCCACCAGTTGAGAAACACTGCGTTACACTATGCTACTGTTTATTTAAAACAAATTTTTTCAATAAAGTTTTTAGTTGTCATGAAAAATTAAGAAAATAACTGCTGTATTTTAAATTCAGTTTAATAAATCATATATAAAATCTTATATATTTTATAAATATTATAAATCTATATATATATATATATATATGTATATGTGTATATATATATATATATATATATATATATATATTTTTTTTTTTTTTTTGCTATTTTTTTTTGCAGTTAAAAATCTGCGGATTTATGCAGAATGACTTTCAGAATATCATAACTAAAACCATAATATATGAACAGAAAAGTAATACCTTTTTAACTTATATTTAATGTTTATAATGCAAATCCAACTAGATCCACTTTATTTGGTAAACAAAGCAAGTCTCATATAGAAGATATAATATATCTTCTAAAAGACGGAAAATATTACTTTACAAACTGTATTGTAAATAAATTATATGAACTTTTTCATATTTGTCAATAATACTAAAATTAACTAAAAATACTTCTTGGTGGGGTTAAAAGAAAATTCTCCATCCTACCTGTCTGCATGGAAAATGATCTCCAGGAAAATATTTCGAAGGAAGAATGGAAAGAATCATGTGTATTTGCCCAAACTCATAGTATCAAGACTAGATGTAAACTACTGCAGTATAAATGGCTTTTTAGAACAAGCATTACCCAAGTAAAGCTAAATCAATTCAATTCAATTCAAATATTCCTGACTAGTGTACAAAATGCAGAGAAGAAAGAGGTAGACTCTATTATTGATTGTGGAAATGTAAAGAGTTGGAAGGAGACTCTTTATTTAATTTGTCAATTAACAGAGGAAAATGTTCCTCTCGACCCCAAAATGTGGTTATTTCATGTCAACCCAAGTCCTCTGGTTGTGCATACAAAGAAGCGCAAACTAATAGAGTTTAGTTTGCTGCAGGCCAAGCGCTTCATTGCATTAAAATGGAAAGAGACTCAAAGGCCCTCTTCTAATCAATGGATCAAGAACATGTCCTATAATCTCGCTCTGGAAAAACATAAATTATAAAAAGGAAGTTAAAAGACTTTTAAAGCATTTGGAATCCCTTTCTACACTTTTGCAACCAATAAGACCTGACAGCAGAATAGAAATTAAACAAAACATCAAGGCTAAAGAGTGAATTATTTTTGATGTTGTATGTAAATAATTATACTCTATATTAACTCCTTTTTTTATTTTTATTTATTTATTATTATTATTTATTTATGTACTTATTTTTATTTTATTTTTTTATTTATTTAATTGTTTGCTGTTATTATTTTTAAGTTTTGTATGTTATTCTGGAGTTGTTTTGTCGTAATGTGATGTTCAGATGTTTAAATGTCTTGTTTTAATGTTGAGAAAAACCCTATTAAAAATTTATTAATTAAAAAAATTAATAAAAAAACTGAATAAATATAAATTTACACACATTTACACAAATTAATAAACCGAAACAATGATGGGCTGTGATGATCTGTGGAATTTTGCGTGCGCAGATTTCGTGTGAGCCTACCGATGAGTGACGCAGATACAGTTAAACGTTCACCGTTACAGTCTATATTACGCGGATATCACAGCTGATCCATGATATATGTGGTGGAGAGTAACACTTCAAAATTGCACCATTTTTAATCGTGATTTTGGTTTAAAAACAATGAATCATGCAGGACTATAAAAAAAAAATCTAAGGATTATTTTGCTGTTTTGGTGAAAACAGAATTTTTCTCATGGCAATGTTGACATTTGCATGTAATTGCTCACAGTTAAAGGATAAAAATAACTTTAAAACACCATAAATGTTTGACCCAAAGCTTTTCCTGTTTGCGTTGTCTTAGGGAATTGTGCACGAGGTCCGACTGTCCGCTCAGCTCATGCTCAACCAACTTCTTCAACAACTGCGCAGCAATTCGCAGCTTCCAGTCTGCCTGCGTGTGATTGGCTACTTGCGTAGAATGGACGTTTTCACCGAAGCCGAGCTGCGCGTCAAGTTTCTGCAAGCTCGCGGAAGTTGGCTGCGATCAATTCTCACCGCCATCCCAGATGAAGACCCATATTTCCACATTACCAAAACCATCGAAACCTGCCGGGTGCACCTCTTCGACATCATAACCCAGTATCGCGCTATCTTCTCAGACGAGGATCCTCTGCTGCCCCCTGGTGGTCAGGCGTTGAATGAGAGTGCAATCTTTCACGGTTGGGTGGTGCAACAGGTGGCGCAATTTCTGGAGACCCTCAATCGGGACCTCCACCGTGGGGTGGGAAGCCGTTTGGACTCTCTGCTCGGTCAGTGCATGTACTTCGGCCTCTCCTTTAGTCGGGTTGGTGCTGATTTCCGTGGCCAACTCGCTCCTATATTTCAGCAGGTTGCCATGGATACTTTCCGGAAGGCTATTCAGGAAGCGGTGGACAAGTTCCAGGAGGACATGAACTTGTATACGCTGATTTCCCTCCCGTCAATTCTTGGAAGCACCATCCCGCCGGCCATCCCGAGCACCCAGCCGGGCACATTGCAGCCCCCCATGGCCCTGCTGGACTTCCCTCCGCTGGCCTGCTTCCTTAATAATGTCCTGACGGCCTTTAATGACTTGAGACTGTGCTGTCCTATTGGACTTGCGCAGGAAGTCAGCAGATGCATCGAGGAAGCCCTTATTAAGGTGATTATTTGCATAAATAATAAGCGGGGTCAGACAGAAACTGTGGAAATGTTTTTGTAACAGGGTTGTTTTTTTGTATCAGGTGACCAAGCTGATCCTGGTTTTCCATCGAGCTGAAGAATCCGCCTTCAGCAGCCGTGAACGGGAGCTGTTTGTTCAGTTCTGCAGTGCATTTGCCGAGGACATGGTGCCTTTCTTAAACCGATGTTTACAAGTTCTCTTCCCTCCGGCCCAGCTCGCTCTCATACTAGGTAAATATCCTTGATAAAAATCAATTGCTAGCTAACACCATTACAGTATGTAATTTTAGCCACTAGAGGGTGCAAATGCACAACTGCAGGTTGCGTCCAAAATTGCATACTACTAGGGCTGCACCATATTGAGAAAATCTGACATTGCGATATTTTATTTTACTGCAAGATTGTTAGATAAATACAATATCCCCAGATGACTTGAGTAGCTCTAGTTCAAGTTCAAGTTCTATTTATTTATAAAGCACGTTTCCAACTGCCACAGGGCTGCACAAAGTGCTTTACAGAGAAAATAAACACATGATATGAGCATAAAACAGTAAAAACAGCAATAAGCACATAATAGAAAGGAACATAGAAAAATTATCAATAAAAGAGCAAAAGCAAAAATCAAAATCAAAAATAGTAATAATAATAATAAAATATTTTTTCCTAATTAAAAGATGCTACCACAGTTGACCAACACTAAACACAGTAGAGAACATGACCGTTTTGATCCCCCTCCCCACTCCCAACACCCCCCCCCCCCTTCTGAAAGGGAAGGACTTATGCTAATAAATAATAAATAAATGCGTCTTTAATTTGGACTTAAAAATAGGCAGCGACGAAGCCTTTTTTAGCTCTAATGGCAGAGAGTTCCAGAGGCGAGGACCTGCTATGGCAAAAGCACGTTCGCCCCTACTTTTGAGGTGGGCCTTTGGAATTATTAATAAAAACTGATCAGCGGAACGCAAGTGTCTTTGAGGAGTGTAGTTAACAATCAGTTGGGATAAATTATGAGGGCCAAGACCATGTAGGGCTTTATACACAAAGAGAAGGATTTTAAATTCGATTCTTTGTGTCACCGGTGGCCAATGTAGAGACCTCAGAATAGGAGTGATGTGTGCATATTTCGGGCTTTTAATTAAAAATCTAGCTGCTGCATTTTGCACTTACTGTAGGCGAGCAATCTGAGACTTAGGCAGCCCAAATTAGAGAGAGTTGCAATAGTCCAACCGGGAGGTTATAAGTTATGGCAGTTTCTAGAGAGTGAAGGAAGAGAGAATTTCATTTTTGAAAGAAGGCGGAGTTGGTAGAAAAAATGTAAAATTAAAAAAATTAGCTATTTAATTAATTAAAAAAATTAATTCATTTAGATTGATTGTGATGATTTTATCACAATTGCTATATGTATGTGTGAGTGCTGTTTTTGCTGAATATTGCACAGCCAACAACCAATCAGATTGGAGAACCAAACAGAACTGTTTATATATATATATATATATATATATATATATATATATATATATATATATGTGTGTGTGTGTGTGTGTGTGTGTATATGTATATATAGATATATATGTATATATAGATATATATGTGTATATATAGATGTGTGTGTGTGTGTGTGTGTGTGTGTATGTATGTGTGTGTATATATATATATATATATATATATATATATATATATATATATATATATAGATATGTATGTATATATAGATATATATGTATATATAGATATATGTGTGTGTGTGTGTGTGTGTGTGTATATATATATATATATATATATATATATATATATGTGTGTGTGTGTGTGTGTGTGTGTGTGTGTGTGTGTGTGTGTGTGTGTGTGTATATATATATATATATATATATATATATATATATATATATATATATATATATATATATATACTTTTTGTATAAAAGTTCTTAAGATAGCAAAATATAGGACACTGTTCTAGTGTATTGTGGATGTTATAATGAAGAAGTCTTGTGATCTACATTAATGTTGATTTAGTCTTTATCTTGCGTTTGTACTGTAGGTGTCCCTCCAACCCAAGTTTCAAAGTACGGCAGTCTGGGCTGCATCAATATGAACACCGTTCTGGAGCCACTGCAGTTTGTTCTGCCCCAAAAAGAGCCTGTGACTCCTGTCCTGGATCTCTGCACAGATCTGAACAGCTTGATGACATCTGAATCAGATCCCACGACTGCAGACAAACATGTTACACCGCATGAAGAAAAGCCCTTTGTTTCTGAGCCGGAGGAGCCTGTATCTGTGACTGATCCTCAAAAAGATGATGTTTCTGCTGAAGCGGTTCATACAGAGCAAAACAACACAAACACAGAGCCGGAAATAACTCTTGATGCACAGAACTTAACAGACGAGTTGCCTGATGTTGAAGAGATGTTGTCAAATTAAGTCAACAACTTTGTTTTGTGAAGATTATTATTAAATTAACCAAATAACCATGTGAAGACACTTATAAAAGGGTTTGGGGTGCTTTTTTTTAATGAAGACTTTATTTGGGAAAGGAAAAATGAATCTAATAACCATGTTCAGACAATTAAAAAAGGTTTAGGATGCATTTTTATTGAAGACTTTATTTGGGGAAGGAAAAATGGTATGTAGCAAATCTGGGGCCATAAAATAAACCATTTTTTTCCAAGTATTGAGCAAAAACAAATGAATAAATGCAAAGTGAATGTAAATTTTTGAGAAATAAAAATAAATTTTGCTCACAAAAATAAAGAACTGCAAAGGATAAATTGAGTTTGGAGAAATAAAAATGAAATTTGCAAACTAAAAAAAGAACTGCAAATAAAAATCAAGCAGTGCGTTTACGGCAGGCCCGGACCTGCCTCAATTTAAGCAACATCATCACCTGGAGACACAGTATCACCAAGGTGGTCTTACAGCCCAGTAGGTCCGGGCCTGCTGTAAATGGCCAAGTTCCCTTGACTCCGCCCCCTTGTCAAATCAGGACCACAAATTAAAATGCGCAGAAACATGATGCGCAAAGTGAAAACAGCATTGCAAATCCTTGAAGCAAATCAAAATGAGCACTGCAATTGACTGGACAGGTTTTGTAAAAGCAATGCTATAAAAAAGGGCAAATATTTTGTTTTTTTTTGCGCGGCTTGATTTTTATGTGCAGTTCTTGTTTTGTTTGCAAAAATTTTATTTTATAAAGTAAAATTATTAGTTTTTTAAGTTTTCATTTTTATTACAGAATTTACTTGGTGACGGAAAAATAAATCAAATAACCATGTTCAGACACTTAAAGCAGAGTTTGATATGCATTTTTATTGCAGACTTTATTTGGGGAAGGAAAAATTGATAAAATAACCATGTTCAGACACTTAAAGCAGAGTTTGTGATGCATTTTTGTTACAGACTTTATTTGGGGAAGGAAATGAATCTAGTAACCATGTTCAGACACTTAAAGCAGAGTTTGATATGCATTTTTATTGCAGACTTTATTTGGGGAAGGAAAAATTGATAAAATAACCATGTTCAGACACTTAAAGCAGAGTTTGATATGCATTTTTATTGAAGACTTTATTTGGGGAAGGAAAATGGTCAATCGAGAATAACGAGTCAATCTGGGGCCATAAAATAAAAGAATATTTTGCAAACAAAAAATAATGAAATGCAAATCTCCAAAAATCTGGAAATTAATTTTTGAGAAAAAAAATGTTGCTAACAAAAAATAAAGAACAGCAAAGGTCAAATCAAGCAGTGCATTTACTGCCTCTGGAGACACCATATCACTGAGGTGGCCTTACAGCCGAGTAGGTCCGGGCCTGCTGTAAATGGCCAAGTTCCCTTGACTCCGCCCCCTTGTCAAATCAGGACCACAAAGTAAAGTGCGCAGAAACGTGAAACGCAAAGTGAAAACAGCATTGCAAAGTCACGGTTGACGAAAAAGCTAATTGAAATGAGAAATGCAATTGACTGGACGGGTTTTGTAAAGACAATGTTATAAAAAATGTTTACCAAATATAGATCTTTTTTTTTGGTTTTTTGCAAATATTTTATTTATTTATTTTTTTTGCACTGCTTGGTTTTTTTTTTTGCATTTCTTAAATTTTATTTTTATTTTTTTGGAAATTTCATTTTTATTTTTCAAAACTTAAATTTTGCAGTTTTTTATTTTTGTTAGTAAAATTATTTATTTATTTATTTTTATTTGTGATTTTTGGAGATATGTATTTATTTATTTATTTGCACAATGCTTTATTTTTATTTTTTTTGCAAAACTTTCTTTTATTTTTTAAGTATATATGGCCCCAGACTGACACCATACAAATGTATCAAATAACCATGTTCAGACACTTAAAAAAGGGTTTGAGATACATTTTAAAGCAGACTTTATTTGGGGAATGTAATATATAATGTAATGAAATTATGTTCATATTTAACATGTGAAGAAATATTTATTGAATTGACCTTCAGAAGTCCCAGAAGGCATTTGAACACCACTGCATTAGTTAGTAAATCCCATTTTACTTTAAATAGCAATATAAACTCACATGCGACTAATTTAACATCATTGTACAAAACTATAGAAGCTGGTGGATCATTTGTATGTATAAGCAGCTCTTCTAATGCAAACCAAAAGCCTTTTGGGGCATATAAATGCTCTTTTAGTGCTGTTTATAGTGTGTTGATGATCTTATGCACTGTTTGTGTTGCTTTTTACTTTTTTTGTTTCATGGGAGGAAAATGTTCAGTAAACCTGGATGAAAATACTAGGATTTTTGATATTCAATCTTACACTGAAGCGTGAACAGTTAGCACAAAAATAGAGTTTCCATATAATCGTAACTGGTATGAGGGCAGAATTTAGATTTTAGAAAATATTCTGTAATTAATTCACAATAGAGAGTTGAAGCGGATTATTCAGAACAATCACCATAAAACATTTTGGTTTAACGTTTCAGGCTTCCAGTCCAGATCCTGCAGGTAGTGTGAGATCAACAATCACTTCTTCACAAACTTCTTGCGAGCAGCGTTTGGATTCGTGCGTCGTCGTCCTCCGCCAGTCTGACCGTCCCGCAGTTGTAAGCTGGCTGATTTGCTGTAGACGTCGTGCTCGGAGAACGGAGAGCTGCTGGCCAGGTAATCTGGATCAAACACATTAGTCTTCTGACGAGCCTTTCTAGACATTCTCTGCTGAGGGAAACGCTGATCTTCCACCAGGTGTGGGTTGTTGCCGTGTTTTCCTCCTTGAGGCATAGGCAAAGAGTACTGCAAGAGGCAGAACACAAGTTCACTTTTACTTATATTTTGCAATTTTGTATTTTTACGTATTTAAGGTGCTTTAATACATTCAAAGGACAGATTATATCCTTTTCTGCTTTCCTTTGAACTCACTGAAGACAATGAGTTTACTTTTAGCACAACACTTCCATTTGAGCCACTGGATTTCTATACACTCACCAAGCACTTTATTACGTACACCGAACTGCAACTGCTTGTTAAAGCAACTTAACAAGCAACAATTTTAACAAGGTCTGCAGAAGAGCATCTCTGAACGTACAACACGTCCAACCTTGAGGCAGATGGGCTACAGCAGCAGAAGACCACACCGGGTGCCACTCATGTCAGCTAAGAACAGGAAACTGAGGCTACAATTCACACAGACTCACCAAAATTGCACAAGAGAAGATTGGAAAAACTTTGCCTGATCTGATGAGTCTCCATTTCTGCTGTGACATTCGGATGGTCGGCTCAAAATTTGGCGTCAACAACATGAAAGCATGGATCCATCCTGCCTTGTATCAACGGTTCAGGCTGCTGGTGGTGGTGTATTAGTCTGGGGGATATTTACTTGGCACACTTTGGGCCCATTGGTACCAATTGAGCATTGTGTCAACGCCACAGTCTACCCGAGTATTTTTGCTGACCATGTCCATCCCTTTATGACCACAACGTGCTAATCTTCTGTTGGCTACTTTCAGCAGCATAACACGCCATGTCATAAAGCCCAAATCATCTCAGACTGGTTTCCTGAACATGACAATGAGTTCACTGTACTCAAATGGCCTCCACAGTCACCAGATCCTCAACCCAATAGAGCACCTTCGGGATGTGGTGGAACGGGAGATTCGCATCACAGATGTGCAGCCGACAAATGTGCAGCAACTGCATGATGCTATCATGTCAATATAGACCAAATTCTCTGAGGAATATTTCCAGTACCTTGTTGAATCTATGCTACAAAGAATTAAGGCAGTTCTGAAGGCAAAAAAAGGGTCCAACCTGGTACTAGTAAGGTGTAACTAATAAAGTGGCCAGTGAGTGCATATCTGACAATGTATCGGTTACCATATTGATTTCACCCATGAAATGCTATACTTAATATCACCTTTTCTGAAGGGATTTTAAAATAAAATCAGTTGTGTTTGCTTCTTTTTGTAATCATGCTCAGAAAAGTGTATATAGGGGGGTCACAGATATGTACAAATCAAATTTCAAATTTAATTCATAACTAAAGGTAAATAAAACTACAATATACACTAAATACACTAAATGTATTTACAAATATTTTCCATAACTCCACAACAAACCCTTCAAATTTAAAGATTCAAAGTGTGAAAAAAAGACAAGTTTAAAATGAAACAATATTACAAGTCAGTGATGGTTTCAGATGATAACCTTAGCAAATGAACTTCATTTCTGATGCATATAGCTGATAAACAGCATTAGGATTATTGTCAGAACAAGTAAATCATCACTCACTCTCTTCCCCTTTGGATTCAGCACTTTGGGATTCCTGGAGAAATGCATCTGCATGGTGCCGTCTTCATTAAGGGTGACGGCAATCTTCTTCAACGTGTTGTTTCCACAATTCGGACAGAAACTTTTGTTCATGTTTGTTGTAGTCCTGAAAAAAATGACGGTAAAAAGTACATTATTAGGGGAATACTGTACATGTAGCATCCACTGCACCGAAGTAAATTTGTCGAAGTGAATCTATTACTTACTTGAAGCATGCATGACAGCGCAGGATATAACTCCTGGTGTTTTTAATGAGCATGCCATTTACAGACAGCACATTCAGTCCAATCTGAATCAGAACATTCTGTGAGGAGAACAACAACATTATCTATAGTCAATCCATATTGGGTTCTTGTGGCTTCAAAGTCTATGTTAAAACAACAATCAAGATATTATTGAAGATTAGGGCTACATGATTTTGGAAAAATCTGACATTGCAATCACATTTGACCAGATGCCTTAAATATCTCTATTTGCAAACAATTCACAATTTTAGTCAATCTGATGACTTTTATTTAGAGGCAGGAACAAAACACAACATATTCAGAAACAATATGTTGTGCAGCTGTATTGTAAATGTTTCACGCACCAATATCATAACACAAGTGCTTCATTAGACATTTGGGCCCAATCCCAATTCTACCCCTTAGCCCTTCCACTTACCCCTACCCTTCATTTTACGCGTGCACGCCAAGGGGTAGGGGTGCCCCAATTCTCTTTAGCTTGAAGGTGTAGGGCTAAGGGGAATGGGTGAATAGCCCTTCGAACGAAGATTTTTTAGGACCACACTTGAAACCAAGGGGTAAGAAAATTTCCCAGTATACACCAGCCACAACAGCAGTTAGGGCTGCTCGATTTTGGGAAAAATCATAATCACGATTATTTTGGTCATAATTGTAATCACGATTATTCCAAACGATTATTAGTTGAAATCAAAATTATTAGCGCTCCTGAGAATTTTTAAAAAATAAATATTTCCCAAATGATGTTTAACAGAGCAAGGAATTTTAACAGTATTTACTGTAATATTTTTCTTCTGGAGAAAGGCTTTTTTTTTTTTTTGGCTAGAATAAAAGCAGATTTAAATATTTTGAAACCTCTTTTAAGGTTAATATTATTAGCCCCTTTAGGCAATTTTTTTTTGATTGTCTGCAGAAGAAACTACTGTTATACAATGACTTGCCTAATTACCCTAATTAAGCTTTTGAATCACACTTTGAATTTGAATGTTTGTATTTAAAAAAAATATCTACTAAAATATTATGTGCTGTCATCATAGCAAAGATAAAATTAATCGGTTATAAGAAATGAATGATTAAAACTATTATGGTCAGAAATCTCCTTTCCATTAAACAGAAATTGGGGGAAAAGGGTTGCTAATATTCAGGAGGGCTAATAATTCTGACTTCAACTGCATATATTTTTTTCCTCCCTGCAAAAGAAAGAAATAAATACAATAGAATAAAAATATGAAAAAAACTGTGCTTTTAGCATCTTCACCGTGAGAAAAACACTTTACCTACAAAAGTCTTCAGTCAAGAGCAGAGAGGGATTTTCTCGTTGTTTTATTAATCATGATAAAACAGGCGGCAGCTGTGCACTGTCACTTTAATGGTTTCACTTTCACGTGTCTTTTGATTCTCAACTCGTTTGTTTATTAAAAAATGAGGGTTTATATGTATAATCACTAAACACCGCGTTTTGACACCTATTTCAACATTAAAGTGCTCACGTTAATAACTATAGATGTGTGTGCTCTCTGCTAGTCACAATGTGCGAATGAGACCAAGTGCTGACCGCATGCTTCTGAGCGTGTCTGCGCGCCGCACACACACACACATAAGCACGCGGTCTTTCGCGCTTTTAAGAGCAACAAGTGAGGAGAACTGGACAGGTGGCGATAAATAAATAATGGAATAATCATTTATCTCGATTAATGGTTTTTCTTAATCGTTAGAATCCATAATCAAAATCGGATTTTCGACTAATTGCACAGCCCTAACGGCAGTATTGCTGAACCCAGAAGTAAGGAGATCCACAAATTAGTATTTTTTTGTCAGTATTAAGAATTTTTACGACAAACAAGCACGTTTTAATATATTCATAACCACGTTCGTGTTTTACTGTCATGCTTAAAAAATACAAATAAAAAACGGTAAAAATGCTACATTTCGTGATCTATATTCCCAATTAATAACTCCTGTACAGCAGTCCCACAGCATTCTGACACTCGAATACCCTGTCAAAAATGCCTAGTGGCTAACAATTGGCATTTTACAGTGTCTGCTATAATGTTAATGTTGTTTTTAGTGTGTTTACATTGATGAATATGGCCACTGTGTAAATGCACAGTACAGTTACGATCTTATTGCCAAATTAGATTATTATGATAACAATATATGCCTTTAGTGATTTTTCTGATGATAAATACCAATAAACAACACAACTGGAATCACTAAAGCAGTCTCGATCATCTGATCTCACATGAAGCATCAGATCGCGAGGACATATGATGACGTGTGCAGGTGGTATTGTGCTGTCCCAATTCTTAGGGGTAAATTTTGAAGCCCTTCCCCTTAACCCTCGGTTGTAACGGCCAAGGGGAAGGGGTACAAAAATAGAATTGGGATTGGGCCTTGATGTAATACATTAATGTGTGTTCTAATAAGATTATTTTTAGTTTGCCCAATCAACTTTAACAATTACCTGCATGGCAAAGTCGGTGGTCACGCAGCCCACTTTGACGTCTGCTGAAGGTCCCCGCACACCAGCATCCATCTGGACCTGCTTAATGTTGCTGGGAGTAATCCACCCTCCACCATCCTCATCATCCTCTTCTTCCTCCTCATCATCACTGTTGAATTCCTCTTCCTCCTCCTCCTCATGCTGCTCTCCATTATTCCCTTCATGCTCTTCAGATTCAGCTGATAGATTGACAGACTCCAGCTTCTGTGTGACTGTGATGGCATCTGCTGCCTACAGACAACCAAACCAAATGAAAAGGAAAATACCGTTTATGTTTGTCTAAAGCAGAGTTTCTCAATCCTGGTCCTCACACCCAACCACACGGCTAATGTCATATGTTTCTCATTTTACTTCAGACGTTTGTTCTAAATAATAAGTGTCCAGCGAAGTGGACTCAACAGGATATTCCGCCGTGATTTTCAATGCTTCTCCAGTAAGATAACATGGGCAATGATGTTGTGTAAATCCACGAATGAATGTCCTGAAGTGAAATAAAGAGAGTAATGAAGGATAAGGGACTATGGAGCGATGTAGGGATGTGTCAGTCAGAAGACATGTTAAATCACAGAGCTCTTCTAATTAGAGGGTCCACACCAACACGAGTATTTTCAAACCTGCACTTTTTTTTTATTGTGGTTAGACTGTCCACATGAAAACAAGACTGAAACGGTAACTATCTGAAAACTCCAGTCAAGGTGAAGATTTTCCCAAACTCTGAGTACAGTGTAGGATGCTACAACCGGAGTTTTCCCCTGATGATGTCAGAGTGCATACTGTTTTCTCCTTTCTGATTGGCCAACATGGCTTTGTACATACCAAACACGAAAGACGTGAGGTGAAATTTTGCGAATTTCGCCGCAAATGCATTGCGTATTCTGTCACATAATTTACATCTGTTCTCATGTTTGCATTGACTTGTATGCAATTGTTTTGCGAAAATTAATAATTCCCTATTTGGTGAGTACACAGCAGGCCCGGATTGGCTAATCGGGAGGGCCGGAAGAATTCCCAGTGGGCCGGTCTGTTTTTTGGCTGCGAGGGCCGGTTTCCATAGCCCAGGGGTGTCAAACGCAATTCCTGGAGGGCCGAAGCCCTGCACAGTTTATCTCCAACCCTGCTCCAACACACTTACCTGTAGGTTTCAAACAAGCCTGAAGGGCTCAATTAGTTTGATCAGGTGTGTTTAATTAGGGTTGGAACTAAACTGTGCAGGGCTGCGGCCCTTTTGGAACTGAGTTTGAAACCTGTGCCCTAGCCGCTTCCACTCTCAGCAGTCGCACTTTTTTCATTTATTTATTTAATTGACCATAGCCTTAATCTTTTTATCCATTATTTTGCCGCAGCTCTGCTTATTATTTTCTTGCAGCCCCGTGAGCAAAATGCAGCCTGCAAGTTAATAATGAAGTAACTATCTTTCAACCCCAAACAGCGGCACCTTAATGAATATAAGAACTCAAATAATTAAAATTAATGAATATTACCCCTGCTCAAGGAAAATCAGATGATTCACCACATTAATAAATCTGACATAACTTGACTAGAAATCTAAAAAGGGGAGAAAACAATTAAGTCATCAATAGAAAGTAATACTGTGGTTAAAAGAGACATTAGCCCCTTTCACACATACAGACCTTTCCGGAAAATTGCCGGCAATTTTCCGGAAAGGTTGTATGTGTGAACAGGTCCTTTTTGAAAATACCGGTAAATTCGTTCTGGCTATTTTCCGGAAAGAGAAGTTGTAACATTACCGGCAATTTGCCGGAATGCTGCGCTGTGTGAACGCAGAAGGAAGATTACCGTAATAAGCGTGTGCACGTCTAGAACGTGCTGACGTGAGACGTCTGCTTTAGCCAATCACAACAGTCAGACGCATTTACGTCCGCGCGGTTTGTGAGAATAAAAGCCTTTGAATATTTTTCCAGACACATTTAGCTGCTAGAAGTTAGTCAGATCACGTTTAAATGTTCTTCTTAATGCTAACTGTGTAAATAATCATCGATGAGATGCTTATGATAAGCCGTTGTTTGTTTACCTTCAAGCTTTGCGTGTGCTTGTGAAACAGCCTGTGAGTGCCTTCACACGCACATATTATGAACATCTCGACATGCGAAAGTGATCCAGCGAAAGTTGTTCACAATAATGATCATCCACAGAGTTTGTAATTTAGTCAAATGTTTGCAAATACAAGCGCAGCCGTTTAAAGCTCATTTGTGGTGAATGATGTCAGAATTTACCGGTATTTTGGAATGGATGTGTGAATGCTCTTTTCCGGAAAATTTCCGTAACGTCCTCGCCTGTGTGAACAGAGCTTTTTTCAATATACCGGTAAAGTCTTTCCGGAAATTTTCCAGATATTTACCGGTATCACTGTGTGAAAGGGGCTATTGTGGTCCAGTGGTCAGCACATTGCGTTATGGCGCCGCCATCCCAAGTTCGAACATCACCCGAGTAATTTTTCTTTTCATTTTTTGTGTTAAGACATATAATACTGTATGGGTTACTTGTATAGGTGTACATATTTTATTTTTATTTTTTGTGTGACCACCGTTACAAAGGACTGGATATCTATAAAGAATTTTGCACAGAATATATATTCAGATATTGCAGGCAAGGACATTGTTGTGTTTTAAAGAACAGTGTTGGAGATTTAGCTACCCTTTAATGTTCTCATATTTATGAAAAACATTTGAAGTTCTAAAGCAGCTGTTTCCCTGGAAAAAGACCTGATCGTGTCATTAGAAACTGAATTGGAAATGACGTTATTTTAATATAGTCATTTGTCAAGAGTCGTGAACTGAGGTGGGCTGGTCTAAGGCTTGAAACTCCAGGGCTGAAAAGGAGTCTCACTCTGGCCCCTGTACCCAGCCTAAATTGGTCATTTTCATTTCATTTTCAACTTAACCTGTTGGGTCTTAACATGCGTCACAGTGCGTTTTCATGTTGACAGAGAATTATTTAAATGTGAATGCATTTATAAACATTTGTACGTGTGGACATGGCCTAATTCCACAGTGTTAAATAAGACATGTGAACATGGAGATTGGTAAAGTGTGAGGACTAGGACTGAGAAACGCTGTTCTAAAGTGTCCGTGATGATAGATGTTGTCTGTTTCCTCACCAGCAGCTCCAGAAGTTCAGACTCAATGCTGGGCAGAGGATTCCTCCAAAACTGAAAGGTGTTGAACTGTGAACTGACAGGATCGTGTGGCTCATTCGTTGTAGGTGGGCTTTGGATAGCAGATTTACCTGAAGACTTTATTGGGGGGGAAGAAATAGATTAAAGAGCCCATATTATGGGTTTTTGAAAATTCCCCTCCATGTAGTGTGTAACACAGCTCTAAGTGAAGTGAAGTATCCAGCTAAGGCTTAAATCTGTAAGAATACAGTGTTTAAAACTGTTGATTCATCTATAAAAGAGTCGAATCATAGTGCTTCAAACGAGTCGCCTTGATACCGACTCATTAGGTGTTTCGCCATGACGTACGAACGAAACAAAGTTTTTCACGTGCACGCGCAAACCCGGGAGATTTCAAACCTGAGGCCCCGCCCTCTGACGCAGTAACCCAGACACACACGCACACCCACAAACACACGCACACAAACATGCCGGTCGATTGAAGTCACACTGCAGATGGATATATTGAGTCTCTACCCAAAGATGAAACATCAGCATTATAACCAAGCAGTTGGAAACTTCTGGAAGCTACATGCTACAAAGAATACTTCATCTGAGTTTGTTAAAGGAAGGATCAGTAAAGAGTAACTGATGGACGTCAGGATGGGTTTCTTCCTACATTTCTCAAGTGTAAGTACGTGCGGTTAAAGTTGTTGCCTCGTTGACTCTAGCTTGCAAATGTATTTAGTTGTGATTTGTTACTTGTAACCGCGTGTACTGTATCAGGTTAACTGGATTTATTATCTTATCGCGTGCAAAGTCACGTTAAAAACGCGACGCGTGCTGTTTGTTTATGGAGCTCCGTGCTAGAGTTCTGCTCCCGCGATTTATTCGGAAATGTATTCCCGCGCCGCAGAAATCTGGCGCGGGGAGAGAGAGAGAGAGAGAGAGAGCGAGAGAGAGCGAGAGCGAGAGAGAGAGCGAACGAACGAACGAGCTCTGTGTACTTTGTGCTGTGTGTGTACAGACAGCTTGGCTGTCTGGACTGTATACTGGGTGATATTTGGTTGTGTTCTCCGCTCTAGCGGGACCGGGCGCGGCGGGCAGAAAACGGAGCGGGTTCTCAGGCTAAAACCTGGCGGGTGCGGGCTGAAGCGGGAGCGTTGTCATCCGGAGGTGTGTGTGTGTTTTTGTGTGTGTGTGTGGTATGGCGAGTACACGACTGTCTCCTTCGTTCGGTTATCCGTGGCACTATCCACTCGCCATAGTGTGGCAGCTAAAGTCCACGCCTACACTATCGAGCGTGTATGAACTGTGATTACTTTTTAAATTGCTGATTAGCTATTGGCCATTTCCCTCTCTGACTGAAGGCAGTCGACCAATCGCGACAGACTGTCATCGGTCCAATCAGCGCAGATTAGCTCCGCGCTAAGGAGGGGTTTGGGAACAAATGAATCACTGGACGATTCATACAGGAGTCGCTGGGATAATTAGATAAAAATAAATGCAGATTATAAGACCATGAAAGTGTTTTTTGACCTTGCATGCATATTAGACTGTTGTTGGAGACCCTTACAACCAAGATATGACCTTATTTCATGTATAATATGGGCTCTTTAAATTTATTGGTGAATCATCCTTATCATGCAATGCTGTAGATTTAGCATGTTCATTATTTATAGTTTATGGTAATATTATATTTTTAGTTTTTTAGAAAACGTACTAAAGCCGCAGTCACACTTTTCACCCCAGAGCCTTCCATTCCATACGCATGCGAATGTGAAAGACCGGAAACGGAAGCAACATGTTTTGCATGCTGCTGCACAGCAAAGTTCAAGCTTGGTGAACTCTGACCTGTAAAATCGCATGCATTTCATCAATAGAAGATCAAAACATGACCTCTATGCAGAGAAATCGCTTGCTTTTTTTTAACATCTGATCATCTTGTTTAATCCTGGCCCCTTTAGCAGCGTAACAAGCTCAAACACTAGTGTGACCACGGCTGGAGTGATTAGAAGAATAAATATTTCAAATAAAATTTAAGCTATGGCATAGTTAAGTAAAAAAAAAAAAAAAAAGAAAAAAAAAACACAAGCAATAGTGTCGTTTTCTTGAATATTTACTTATGATCATAACTGCAAACATTTAATGATGTGTATTAGTTATATTGAATAAGTTACATGAATTTTTAATTTTCAGTTTTATAAAACAAAATGGTAAAAAGTTGGAATAAATATTCCTAAGCGTATATTCTGTTCGTGAATTAATTATTTGAGAAAGTGATTCAATGATCCATTTATAAAGACATCCAACAGCTGTGTTTTCAATAGAATTGGCCGTTTAGAATGAATCGTTTGAGTAAATGAGTCAACAAATCACTTACTGGCAATGAATTGCCTATTGGCAGTTTTAATCTTTAATTTATTTATATGCGACAGAAAAAGTCACAGTTCCAGCATTTATATATATATATATATATATATATATATATATATATATATATATATATATAAATATCACACGAGTAGCAGTGCGATATGGCTGTATATCGGCACTGGTGGGAGGTGTGCGTTGGCAAGAGGGCGCAGGTCGAGTGCCTTAGTGCCCCCACCAGTGCCGATTTACAGCGATATCGCACTGCTTCGAGTGTGATATTGCTTTTATACAACAGTTTGACGACATAATTGTGTATATAAAAACAAAATCAAACATGGAGAGTCTCAAAAACCCTTTTGTATAAGGAACTACTTTCTTCCGGATTCAAATCACAAGCTGACAGTTAAACAGCTGAGAGTGCATCTTTTAAACAGTAGATCTGTAGTGTCTGCTTTTTGCTGGCTGTATGTGGGCGGAGTAATACACAAAGGGTAAAGAGGCTGTAGGAGTTCTGATATTGCAGAATATCGCACGGCTATCAGCCAATCAGATTTAAGAACCAGACAGAACTGTTGTATGTATATATATATGTATATATATTATATATATATATATATATATATATATATATATATATATATATATATATAATTATTATAAATTACTACTATAAAAAATAAAGATAGAAAATATAAATGCCCTCTTACTGTGGATGCAAATTATATTATTTATCCCATTTAAAAAACAACTATCAAAACTAAAAAATAATGGGATTTTCCTTTAATTAATATAATTTAAATAAACACCAAACTTTTTTCAAGTTTTGTCTTACTTTTGAAGGAAAATGGAAACCAGCAATGCCAACAGGAGTCTCTGGATGTCTTTGTGTGCTGCATATCTGAACCTGAAATGCAGACAATGTTGAAAACTAAAACAAATATTAACTAAAATCTGAATTAATTACTTAATTCATCTGCAGTACCTGTTTCTCAGGTTCTTTCTTCAAATGCTCAGTCCCCACATTTTCAGACTCCAGTTGATAAGTCAGAGCCAAAACCTTGATGTCCGTTGCTGACAGACTGGGATAATCTCCTGTCTTTTTAGCAAACTCTGTAACTGTTATTCAAAAACAAATATAAATCACTACCAGCACTGAAATAAAGACTTGGAAGTAAGACACAAAGAGCAGTTATTACCAAATTGAATGTACTCTGGAAATGGTTCTTTGAAATCAAGCTTGTATGGTAAAAAGGCCAAGCTCCTTTTAGTTGGTTTATCCCGAATTTCATCAACAACATCCTTCAAGGTATAAATGTTCTTGCCAATTTCCTATTGGAACACACAAACTTGTTATAACAGATAGAAATGGCAAGCATATATTATATTAAATACATATACATCTATTAAATGCAACATATACTAACGTTTCTTTCTTTACATTTCGTTTTCGTCTGGAAATACATATCCTATTAAGTATTCAAGTGTTTGTGTGATAACAACCACTGCAAATACAACAATCTAGGGCTGAACAATATATAGTTTGAGCATTGATATTGCAACGTGTGTGTCAGTCACGTCACAGGATTGCATTATTTATTAAAGATTAAAATATAAACATGTTATTAAATATTATTTAAAAAATATTTACAATGATGACAATGTATCATCTGATTGTTCCACTTTTGTACTCGAATACTGTTTTAGACTCCCCAGAAAATCATAAAGCACTGTTTAGGTATTTATTTTTGCTTGTAATTTAGTATAATTTATGCAGATCCACTGCATAGAAAAACACTTGATCCTCCCAGTTGATCTAAATAAATGAAATACATCCAAATAGAGCTCTTTAAATTGTTAGATTAACATCGCAATATATATCAGCAAAACAAAATATCGCAATGTCAGACTTTCAGTGTTGTGCAGCTCTAAAACGATCTGAATATTATTTAAAGGCAGTTTTTAAATAATACATACACTAGCTAGACACACAACAGACACACTAACAAAAAATACCATAGTAGAATGTGTTTTTTTTTTTGCAGTGCTTGGGAATAGATGTATAGATATTTAGATATATTTTTTATAATGAACATGCATGATATTGTTGTCAAAAGAACTAAAAAAATACACATCTACTTGAACTATTTTTAATTTGTTAGAGCTATTTTTTAATTTGTTTAATGTATTTATTTGAATAAGACCTCAAACTAATTAAAACTAGCTCAAATAAATGTGTATTTTAAGTTCTCATGTCAACAATATCATGCATGTTCATTATCAAAATATGTTGTATTACTAAATATAGACATGTCTATGCCCAAACACTATGCAAATACCTTATACTATGGTATTTTATACTAGTGTGTTGCCTTTGTATGATCTAAATCAGAGATGCCCAAACTAGGGCCTACGGGCCAAAGGTGGCCATGATAACTTTTGATTTGGCCCACCATCCGATAGGGAGAATGATGGGTATGGTTGAGGAATGCCTTTAATAGAGATTGTCATTTCTAATTTAATGTAACCTTTTGTTTGTTTGTGTTATTGTTTTGTTGCTACAAAAAAGCTAACCTAATTTAAATGTTTAAGTTTTTTTAAATGTATATACTATCACTTGATGGATAGAGAACAAGGCACAGGACTTTGGCTAACAAATCAATGCATAAGGATGTGCGGCTTGACTAGTGTGTTCTACATCAAACTCCATTGTGATCCAAATAAAATTGTTTGTTTATATTCTAATATGTTCATTAAAAATGTAAAAAAATGCATTAATTAATGAAATGTTTTTTTTATATCAATATTATTCCATAATTTAGGAACAGAAAAACATGGCGACTTTAATGTAAAACAGTTTATATTACAGCCCTCAATCAGGTTTAATCTTTGGCCTTTCATAAGAAAAAGTTTGGCCATCTCTGATCTAAATAATACACCATAATCATATCTATTTATTCTTTTGGGGGAAAATTGGTTTTATATTCGAGCATTAGGATTTTTCCCTTGATAATATAATTTCAGTAAAGTATTATTGGCTAATTCTAAATATGGAAATCATATTACGACAATGAAAGTAACATTACAGTCATACTTGCATGAGATTTCAGACAGAATGTTTAAAGCCCTATGATAAACAATATAAGTATCGTGTCACTGAGCAAATGTGGCCATATAATAACAGTAAAGTTCGCACTACGCAGTTACAACACGCGTGTCGGTTTCGTCATTTATCCCGCAGCACAGCCATTAAAACGCAAATTTCTGGACGTCGAAATTAAAAGAACCGAACGATAACCCAAATCCCTGAAAAAATAACTCACGTGCAGAGGAGCCCTTTTGATAAAAGCTCCAGCATCCACAACAACATGCTCCACTATGGTCGCCACCATCTTGACTGTGTGGCAGTAGTTCTCGCGAGGAGACGCAGTATCGTCCCGTTAGTATCACGTCATTTGTTGACGTTCAGGTGGGGTGAAGATGGCGGCCCGCTGGAGCAGTGAGAATGTGGTGGTGGAGTTTCGAGATGCACAGGTAAACAGTCGCTACACGCGTGTGCATGCTTTAAATGCGTTAGAAGTGTAGTTTCAAACAACTTTGAAGCAACAAGCATGCACTGCTTAAATGGCAAAGCTAAGCGACGTCTTTTAACTTTGAATTGAATGACATTCTTTTGTTTACTAATATGTTCCCTTTATAAACTTACCATGGTATACACTGTGCTTTATTAGTACCACAATGAACGTCTTGTTAATGAAGACTTTGAAGGCAGTCATGGTAGAATGACCGCTGAGAACTGTGGTTCAATAAGTAGTTGATAGTTCATACATCAAGATTATAGGTTGTTACTTATCCTTAAACTACAATACAAATTGATGAATGTCATTAAATATTGACTATCAAAGCAATGTTTATTTATTTAACTAAAACTCTTATGTTTACAAAACTTGAAGATAACAGAAGATTGTATAGTACATTTCAATTACAAAAAATACATTAAAAATGCACTGAAATTACACTAAAATACAATAAAAATGCACTAAAATTTTCAAAGATCAAACGGTTAAGAACAAGTACAGCAAGTTCTTCCAGTGTACTTAAGTTTTGATTAAAAAATGCCACTTCAAAGGATAGTCCTGATAAAATATATATTTTGATTTCTTTAATGTTGGTTGTTTATAAGTGTAGAATTTGGCACTCAATTATTCTGCAAAAATGTGTTTTTTAGTTGTTTTTAGTTTAGTTAGCTTAAAGCTTTATTAATCCCCATTGGGGCAATACATACTGATATTTATGATGCTTTACATATAACACAAATGACACACGTAACATCAACTAAACAAACAAATAATATATAAAATAATAATAATAAACCATCAATCATCTACATATATTATGTAATCGGATTGCTTCAAGCCCAAAAGTAAATTCATAATGATTTGAGGAACATCTAATTGACCTTAGACGTCGCCATAGGGGCATTCACTCACAAATAGCAATTTAATTTAATGTACTTTTCATTAAAGAAATGCTACTTTAAAAGTTTTTTTCCTGATAAAAATATACTTTAAAATTTCTTTAACGTTGGTTGTTAAAGGGCTTTAAGTCCAAATGTGGAATTTGGCACTCAATTATTCTGTAAAAACTTGGTTTAGTTAGCCTAAAGCTTTATTAATTCTCTTGGGGCTATTCATGCTGATATTTCTGATGCTTCACATTTAACACAAATGACACATGTAACATCAATTACACAAACAAAAAATATATAAAATCATAATTTTAAACCATTGATCATCCACATTTATTATTGCTTTTGGTACAAAAGTAAATTCATAACGATTTGAGGAACATCTAGTTGACTTTAGACGTTGCCCGAGAGGCATCCACTCAAAATAATAATTTATTTTATGTACTTTTCATTAAAAATGCTCCTTTAAAAGTTTTTCCTCTTAAAAATATATATATCAATATATTTTTAAAGTTCTTTAATGTTGGTTGTTTAACTCTTGTGGATTATTTAAAATGACGATCCTTTCGTTATGTTAGTTGCTGTTTTTGTTCCATTGACTTCCATTATAATGCCATTTTTTGATTGCAAAGCCATGGCAAATTTGACCTCTTCCCATCAGGGAAAACCAGCAACAGTCAAGAAGGCATGATTATATGGTGCCATGGCTTTGCAATCATAAATGTCTTTATAATGAAAGTCAATGGGGCAAAAATATCCACTAACATAACAAAGGGTAGTAAATTTACCCAGAGTGTATTGAGTTTTTCAAAGCATTTAATTTCCGAAAATTTGTGTCAAACTAAGATTTGTCACCAAAATCATTCCATTTTCAGAAACACATAGAAAGTTGTGGCCAGATTAAGACTTTAAATCACCCCTGGGTGGATGAAAACATCCCCAACAACACACAAGGGTTAAAGTCTTTATGTTCATCTCTCGCTTATTCATTAAAAATCTGTATGTTCAGTTCTATCAAGGCCACTGTAGTTCAAACAATGCTGTAGTTGAATTTCTGTAACATTTAAAAGAGTAGAAATAAGCCTGAAATGTATGCTATATAATAAACTTTTCTGTTTTCAGGCTAATGCTATGTCAGTGGACTGTCTGGGCCAGCACGCTGTTCTCTCTGGGTGTGTAAAACCTCCACTAATGTCACATCATCATGGGGAATTACCAGCACACCCTCCTGCACCAGCTCTAGCAAAGTTTTATGTGTTGCATATACTGTTTTTATTGTTATAAATTAGGGCTGCACGATATTAGAAAAATCTGACATTGTGCTATTGTATTTTTCTTGGATATATATTGCGATATGAATAGAATTTCAGCGGATGACTTAAATAGCTCTATTTGCTATTAAATCTTTAATTTAGATTGACTGGCATAATCTTATAGTGGAGTGAATCAAACAAATTGCAAGCATAAATAAGCAAAATAAAGCAAAAATAAAAGTGAAATAAGAAGTGTTTTATAAGTCAAACAGTAGATATTCAGGTACAGTAATTGAATACTCAAATGTAATGCAAAATATGAAGTAACACTGTACAGTCTTCATTGCTGACCAACTATAATTCCAACTCTGTACCGCGGATAATCCAATGTGATTATTTCAAATGCACACATTGTGATATAGATGCTAAAACGATATATTGTGCAGCCCTGTTATTAAATCTGTTTCTGTCATAACACAGTCTATTTATTCTTTCACACAGGAGACGATTCTTATACGTTGTAAATTTAGAAACGCCGTCCGAAGCTCCTCGTAAAATCAGCCGCCAGAGCAAATGGGACGTTGGTACAGTCCAGTGGAACCCACACAAATCTGACGCCCATATATTTGCTGCATCTGTAAGTAAACAAATATTAATTATATGTACAGTGTTCAGCATACATGAGTTCACCCCTCACAGATTTCTCTTTTTAATTAATATTTTCTACAGGGTGCATTACAATAATTTACAGTTGAAGTCAGAATTATTATTAATCTTTTTTAAATATTTCCCAAATTATGTTTAAATGAGCAGAGAAATTTTCACAGTATGTCTAATTATATTTTTTCTTCTGGAGAAAGTCTTATTTGTTTGATTTCGGCTAGAATAAAAGCAGTTTTTCATTTTTTAAAACCATTTTAAGGTCAAAATTATTTGGCCCTTTAAGCTATTTATAAGTTATTAGAGATAAGTTATTAAAACTATTATGTTTAGAAATGTGTTGAAAAAAATATTCTCTCCGTTAAACAGAAATCGGGGAAAATAAACACAGAAGGGCTAATAATTCAGGGGGGCTTATAATTTTGACTTCAACTGTATTTGTACATACTGTATGCATTAGATTAGTCATTACCAAAGCCAAAACTAAAACTAATCTAACAAAAAAAATTATGATCACAGTCCAAAAATGTGTACACCCAAATTAAAATGTTGGAAAAAATGTTTTAATAAACAGTTAAAATCAGTAGAAAAGATATAAAAAAAATATTCAATTTAGTTTTTTTGTAATATATCATTTGAATTTAAATGTATTATCTTTATATTCCTAAAGATGTTAGATGACCAAACATATATTTTAATGGATGAAAATGTTTAATAAACTGTTTAATAAATTGTTTAATTGCACCAAAATGTATTGGCTGTATACACTGAGAAATAGATATTATTTTAATTTTAAAAGGGAGTGTACTCATTTATGCTTTATACCCTGGGCTTAATTTGTGCCAGAACACTCCGGATCCGGCACCTCTGAAATCTAATCCAGCACCTTATTTTACCAATCCCCCTCTTCAACCTACCTCCTCCCCATCCACTGTTCAATTTCTTCCACGACAACCCTGACCCTGATCTTCACTTTTGTCTGTGACAATCCCCCCCATCCCCCCTCACGCTGTACATTTTCATCCACGACACCTTTTCATCCTCGGGTAAAATGCCAGTTATGTTACCTCGATCTGTTCCAGGACATCGCAATTTACAAATTAAGCCTTCTCATACCAATAAATAAATGTATATTTCATTTATTTAAATAATTTATTTATTGTGTTTATTAGATTTTTCTCAACAACTTTGCACAACATCATACCAAAATACCAAGAAAAATACAAATAAACAAGCAAAACAACAAGCGTGGAAGAGCAGGCTTAAATTAATGCATAGGAGAAGATGTAATCAATAGAAATCACAGAATTACAATTATGTCAACATTTATTTTTTCTTGGCAAGGTTTTGTTCTCTGTTCATTTATTATTATGTTTTACATGAACTTTTTAGGTTGTAAATAATGCCTTTCTCATTTTCATCCAGAGTAACCAGCGTGTCGACTTGTACACATGGCGGGATGGATCTGGTAAATCACATACGTCTTTGCAAGGCCACACACGTGTAATAAGGTAACACATGAATTCAAGCTGAAATTACTATGAATTTGGAGGAGCTTGTTTTAAAGTCAATATGAATTGAAATTGTTTGTGAAATATTGCAGTATTTATTATGAAGGCATAGGTTTGATCTTGACTTTGCTGGCGACCTATGAACCCCCATCTGCCACCATCCTCATTTGCGTGTCATCCAACTTACACACCTTATTCTTGCATAGGAAAATTCCCCTGCTCAGCCTCTCATATGACAGCGGGAAAAGGCTCAGCCAATCACAATGTTCATTTGTGGTTTGTGGGGGCGGTATGACTCTAGTGGAGAATCAATCAATCTGTCAATCACGTGTTCCACCAATGCCAAATCATATCCGTCCAATCAGTTCCATATGGACAAAATCAAGCCCCGCCTACTTCGGTTATTGATTCCGAAAAAAATATTTCGAAAGGATTTTTACTAAGATGCACAGTTGAAGTCAGAAGGCCTCCTGAATTATTAGCCCACTTTATATTTTTTCCCCAATCTTGTTTAATGAAAGAAGATCTTTCAATTTGTTCTGTACATTCTAATGTTCTAATAAAAATGTTCTGTATATTCTGTACATTCTAATGTTCTAATAATAATGTTCTGTACATTCTGTACATTCTAATGTTCTAATAATAATGTTCTGTACATTCTGTACATTCTAATGTTCTAATAATCTAATATTCTAAGATTTTCTTCGTTCTGTACATTCTAATATAACACACAGTGCATGTGATTTGATTAAAAAAAAAGTTTGCTGTCTGTTTCAGTGATTTGGACTGGTCGTGGTTTGAGCCAGAGTTTCTAGTCACTAGTTCTGTGGACACATACATATACATATGGGACACAAGGTGAGTGTGTTGAAAAAGTGTACAATGCATGGTTTGTTAAACGGTTCATATTTTATGCTTTTCTTGCTTGATTTCTAGTGACACTCGGAGGCCAACTGTGACTTTGTCTGCTGTGGGTGAGTCCAAAGAACTGATCAGTTTATTTAAACTCTGCTGTCTGTAGTTTTGATTTGATTTCCTGATTCTTTTCCTCTGTGTTTCAGCTGGAGCCTCTCAGGTGAAGTGGAACAGACGGAATCATTATTGTTTGGCATCGAGTCACGATGGGGATGTCAGAATCTGGGACAAGAGGGTGATTATGTCATTCTGTTACTTGTTACATCATAAACACAAAAGCGTTCTGATAAATTTATTACCACAATCACGAGGGAGAGAAAAAAGTTTTACTCACCCAATTTGATGTGCAGACAAACAAAAGGCAGATGAGCTAACACAATACCTTAAAGACGAGCCCCCAATTATGTGTTGTAGCGGATGCACCGCGCTACGCACATAAGGATAAGGATGACCGTCTATTCAAAGAGGTCACCCGAAGTCCTTTTCCTGCTTCGCGAGCACACACAAGGGAACAAAGGGCCAATACAAAGTACGCAACCTAATACTAGATCTCTTACCTAAACCGAAAATAAAGATCTGCAAATAAAACAACAATCCTATACTCCTTGACTATCCATTAAACAGGAGAAAACGTGACAAAAGACAAAGGGCCTTCCCTTAGATCATTCAGCAGTAAGTAAACATTTAGCCACCGCTAATACAGAATACCGTCCTATTAACATTTTTAACAGAGTATCTCACCAGATGACTTTGAAAAAAAAAAAAAAGGTTTCAGACAGAAAGATAGCACTGCCACACAGAGAACCTGATCGCTGCTCATGTGGAGAAGGAGAAAGAGGCAGATAATAGAGGATACAACACACAGCAACAATACACACCAGCATTGTCAAAATAAAGTTACTCCATATGTAACACTACCTTAAATGTCCGCAGTCACAATTAACGCATTTCAGTGTCTTATTTCCCTGTGCATTTGAATTCGCCTGCCTCTGTTGCCCAACAACTTTCTGCCAATCATAAACATAACTTTATGTGAGAATAAATGCAGAAATTTACTTTAGACATGTCTTTCAAAACATTAACTTTCACGAAAAAAAAAAAAACATACGATTGTGAAGTGAAAGAGAGGTGTTACAGTGGTAACTTATACACATTTACATGCTGCATTAAAAGATCACACTTTTAGGGTAATGACTTTATAAAACAGGGGTGGCCAAACTCGTCTAATAAGCTTGTTTTATCCTGCCCCTTTTCGCTCAGCCGCATGACAGAATATCACAAGTAAATTAAACAGGGGGCTAATAATTCAGGGCGGCTAATAATTCTGACTTCACAGGGTTCAACGCTAAGGACATTTTCTACTGGCCCGACTGGACCAGCAGTTCAGATTTTTACTGGCCCTGCCAAAATTTTCACTGGCCCCACCAAAATAAATAAATAAAAAATAGCTATTTTTTTAGCCACATATTTTAAATAATGTGTCAAAAATAATGTCGTTGAATCTAGAATTTAAATATTTTTAAAATGTTAAAATATTTAGCAGTAAAATACAGCAGTATGGAAAATGTGCAGGTATTTTATTGCTAAACAAAAAGTGGCGGACTTAAAAGTGATGGAAAATTATGCAAAACATCACTTCATTTTTTTCGATGTGTTGTACCCATGTAAATATCTTTTTCCACAACGTTGGAAACAGACGTTTTCTTTTAGCCGCATAATTTGATGTTGTCGTCTCTTCACTGTTCTGGTTTTTACCAGGTTGTGAAAAAATTAACGTGCTAACAACAACCAATCAGATAAAAGGAACCAAAAAGCAATATGGGGTTCACGACTTTACAGAAAACGTAGCATTCTGAGACTTAAAAGCACAAATTGTTTCTCAGTTCTAAGACTGTATTTGCATACAATTGACAGTAGCAGGCAAATAAAAATTTGATGACAAGGCAGCACTGGCCTGATCGGGCCAGTAACGATTCTCTTTACTGTCCCGAACATCTCTCATGCTGGCCCCGGGCCATCGGGCAGTCCTTATTGTTGAGCCCTGCTTCAACTTTGTATGTCTATAGGTGGGCCCACACAGTTTGCGCTACGCCACTGTTTTTTGTTGGACTTCCCACAAGTTTCAATGGAAATAAAACATTTATTCTATTCTACTGTATTCCATTTCAGAAATCGAACACTGCAGTCGAGTACGTCGCTGCCCACCTGTCAAAGATTAACGGTCTGGACTGGCACCCTGATAATGAGTACATCCTGGCTACTTCAAGTCAGGACAACTCTGTTCGGGTGAGTATAATCATAATTATTGATCATATTCTTAAATAGTTTTAGCTGCAGTTTTGCTGATTCTGTTTTTATACTGATTTATCTCAAAAGTTCTGGGATTACAGACAACCCCGGAAGTACCTTGATATCTTATCCTGTCAGGTGCCTGTGTGGAAGGCCAGATACACGGTAAAGTTTAAATATGCAGTTTAAATATATATTTTTCTTGATATTTTCATTTTAAATACTTTGTTTGTTTCTGTTGTGATGATCTCTATCAGGCAAATGTTTAAAATGATTACGTATTTTTGTTTTAGTCTCAAAAATACAATAAAAACAATATGGAAAAATGGGTGGCACATTGGCTCAGTAGTTAGCAGTCGCCTTACAGCAAAAAGGTCGCTGGTTCGAGTCCTGGCTAGGCCAGTTGGCTTTTCTGTGTGGAGTTTGCATGTTCTCCCCATGTTGGTGTGGGTGCTCTAGTTTCCCCCACAGTCCAAACACGCTCTATAGGTGAATTGAATAAGCTAAATTGACTAGTGTATGAGTGTGTATGGGTGTTTTCCAGTACTGGGTTGCAGCTGGAAGGGCATCCGCTGTGTAGCTTATCCAGTCCTTCCAGCCGCAACCTAGTACTAGGAAACACTTATACACACTCACATTCACACACACACACTATGGTCAAATTAGTTAATCCAATTCACCTTTACCACATATCTTTTGAAATGTGGGGAACACCCGGAGGAAACCAGGGAGAACATGCAAACTCAACACAGAAATGCCAACTGGCCTGGCTGCCACTGGAACAAGCAACCTTCTTGCTGTGAGGTGACAGTGCTAACCACTAAATCACCGTGCTGCTCATTAGTGAATTTTTAAAGTTTATATTTTTATTTGTATTTACGCTGTTAATATAAGAGATGGAAAAATGAAAATTAGTAATTCAAATAATGGAGAATCTGCATGTTGTAAAGTACTCACTGCATCCTCTCCTTTTCTTCTGTCTAGCCTTTCTCAAATGGGCTGGTTACAGTGATGGTTCCTCAGCTTCGGCGTGAGAACAGCCTCCTCCTGTGGAGCACACTGGAGCTGAACAGCCCTGTTCATGCGTTTGTGGGCCATGACGATGTTGTGTATGAGTTTCAGTGGAGGCCGCAGAAAGAAGGTGAGCAGAGCTGGCAGTCGAAGGAAATTAAGGAATGTTATTTACCACAAAATCCCCAGATTGATTTTGTGTTTGAATTGACAATTATTAGTCTGAACCCTTGTCATCAAAACCAAAACTGCCTCTTCTCTCCTCCCACCACATCACATGACAACCTCAAAACGTTATGCATTTATGAAATGCGCTTTACACAAGTGAGTGGGCTTGACAAACCACCAGTAGAAACACTTTTCTCTCTCTAAAAAAACACTAAAAAAAATAAAGAAACTATGAACAACTGATCTGTAAAGTGTGAGTTAATATATTAGTTAAGTGTTAGTTATCAGTTTATGTATGTTATTGGGACGTTATTCTAAAGATGCAACTATTCCTCATTTACTTACAGTTAATAAATAAAGAATAGTTGCAACTTTAGAATAACGCCCTATAACATATATACACTAATAACTGATACTGAACAAGTCTTTAGTAAGTAATTTACTAACAGCTTGTTTATGATCTATTACTTATTAATTAGGTATAGTTATAACATTAAAAAACTGTTACAAAGTCATTTAAAGCTTGTTAACTAACAGCTTGTAAGTTATATATTGGCTATTTATAAGGCACAGTTATAAATAATTAACAAACTATTGACTTATATAACAAGTCATTTATAACTCACTAACTAACAGTTTATTAATGGACTATTAACTAGTTATAACGAAATAGTTATACTAAATTGTTACCGTGAATTTTTGACTAAATTGACTACATCACATCTGTGTGTGAATGTGTATGGGTGTTTCCCAGTACTGGGTTGCAGCTGGAATGGTATCCACTGCGTAAAACATCTGCTGGAATAGTTGGTGGTTCATTCCACTGTGGCAACTCCTAATAAGTAGTGGACTGAGCCGAAGGAAAATTAATAAACCAATATTTTGTGTCTGTGACCATAGAACTGGAGAGTTTTTAATAAATCATGCATACCAACTTTAACTATAATTTTTTTTCTGCTGTCCGTCTTTTGTGCATAAGCTGTATCTGCCTCAAAACAATGATCAATAATTGATGTCCATGTGCTATAATCAATCCTTAATAAAGTTTAGCAATTACTCAATAGTCAATTAATTGCTTTCATCTATAATGGAGATAATTCTGGCAATAAATGCTTCATTTTCACTTTCATAGCAAAAATATAATTGTATTTGTGCACTGTTCATATATATCTTAGGGTCCAAAGACTGCCAGCTGGTCACGTTGTCCAGAGATCAAACCCTGAGAATATGGAGAGTTGATCCTCAGCTCCAGAAGGTGATGCTTGGGAATGGATTTTTGTTTCTATACAGCTGGAGATGTTATGTTAGAGACTGACTGATGGATGCATGTTTTTGTAGTTGTGTTGTGCAAATGAAATCGTGGATGAGCTCACCACTGAGACAGAGAAAACGCTGAGATCCCAAGACTCTGAACCACCATTGAGTCCTGGATTCACTGCGGACAACTCACTAGGTAAAATAAATACATATTTATTGAATTACTTGTTTAGGTTTGATCCAGAATTATTTTCAGAAATATGCTGAATAGTTGAATGTTCTGTAAATAAGCACTGTTTTGTCGCCCATTTTAAAATTGGTATTTGATTGTGCAATCTGTAATGTTTTTGGTTTTTAATATTAATATTATTATTATTATTATTATTTGTGTAATTATTTATTTAGTTTTTTTAAATGATAAATAAATATAGTATTATAATTATTATTTGCTTAATTATTTGTTTATTTGAAATAAGTATATTATTATTATTATTATTGTTTTATTTTATTATTTTCTTTTCTTTATTATTATTATTTTTTGTTCAATTCTTTTTATTTAAAAAAAAAAATATATATATATATATATATATATATATAATTTGTTGATTTATTTTAAATAAGTATATTATTATTTTTTGTTAATTATTTGTTTATTTGTTTTAAATAAATAATTAAATAATAATTATTATTATTTGTTTATTTTAAATAAGTGTATTCTTATTATGAGTTTGTTTAATTCTTTGTTTATTTTTAAATTATTTGTTTAATTATTTTTTATTTAAAATAAGTGTATTATTATTTTGTTTAATTATTTGTTTATTTATTATAAATAAATAATGGTTGTTTGTTTAATTATTTGTTTATTTTTTAAATAAGTATATTATCATTATTATTATTATTATTATTATTATTATTATTATTATTATTTCATAAAAGTTGAAATTCTGGGATCTCGGTTTGGTGGATTTTTTTTTTACATTAATGACTGTATAAATGTTTTCATGAGTGAAGACTCATGTTTAATAGAAGATATGAAAGTAAATTCATGCTGTTTATCTGTAAAAATCAGTTTATCTGTTATATTTGATTAAATATTATCGCACAGTGTATTACACTGTTTAAAAGCATTTTAAAATGTAATTAATGCTGAAATTAATGCAGTAAATTGCAAAAGTGACAGAGTTAATTCTAATGTAACAAATCTATAAAATTTTAATGTTTAATAAAATAAAAAAATGCTCAGTGTTTTTATGGATTTGTATTTGTTGGATTTTTTACAAAAAATGATGCCTAAACTTAATTAAAATTACAATATATATATTTTTTTAAGATTATTTATTTACTTTTCATTCATTGATTGAAAATTAATTACGTCCCCATTTTCCATTTATGGTAATGTGAAAAATAGTCTGCTTTTTTTCATTAATGTAAGAATGATTGTCTGTTCACAGATCAGTTTGACGGGCCTCAGTCAGGCCTGTCGTCCAGTGCTAAGAATGACATACCCCAAACTCTGCAGCAGGAGTTTTCTCTAGTCAACTTACAGATTCGCAATGTCAATGTGGAGGTCAGTCCCTGTGATGTCTGAAAATTAGATTGATAAATTAGATAAAATATGAAGTATTAAACCAGCAAATTCTATTTGTAACCATTAAATATACACAGAGCTGTGTTGAAAAATATTTTGAGAACTTCGTTCAAACATAGATAATGAATTTTTCTAAATGCATCATCGCTAGCCTTTTTTTAATGAATTCTGAGCTTAGTTTTTAACTGCAGATGGCGTTGTATGCTTTATAGACACATGTTCTCTGCTCGCCTACAATTGTTCACAAATACAACTTGAACTTAAAATAATCATTAATAAAGTTAGGCAAGGTTTAAACAGATTACAAGAGTGTGATCAGCTGTTAAATCTCCCATCTGCTGTTAAAAACAAACCGAGAGCGCCATCTGCTGTTTAAAATTAGCTTAGAGCATCATCTTTTAAATAAAATCTAGCTTAGAGCACCATCTGCTGTTAAAAACAAGCCGAGGGCTCCATCTGCTAGTAAAAACTAGCAGCGAGTGCCATCTGCTGTTAAAAACTAGCTTAGAGCACCATCTTTAAAAAAAAAAAAAAATTGCATAGAGCGTCATCTGCTGTTAAAAACTAGCCGAGAGCGCCATCTGCTGTTAAAAATTAGCAGCGAGCGCCAACTGCCGTTAAAAGTTAGCTTAGAAAACCATCTTAAATAAAACTAGCCTAGAGCACCATCTGCTGTTAAAAACTAGCTTAGAACACCAGCTTTAAAAATAAATTAGCCTAGACCGCCATTTGCTTTTAAAAAATTAGCCTAGAGCGGCATCTTCTGTCAAAAACTAGCTTAGAACACCATCTGTAAAAAAAAATTAGCCTAGACCGCCCACCATCTGCTTTTAATAACTAGCCAAGAGCGCCATCTGCTGTTAAAAACTAGCTTAGAGCACCATCTTTTTAAAAAAAAAATTAGCCTAGAGCGGCATCTGCTGTTAAATACTAGCAGTGAGCGACAAATGCTGTTAAAAGTTAGCTTAGAACACCATCTTAAATAAAACTAGCCTAGAGCACCATCAGTTGTTAAAATCCAGCTTAGAACACCACCTTTTAAAAAACAAATTAGCCTAGAGCGCCATCTGCTGTTAAAAACTAGCTTAGAGCACCATCTTTAAAAAAAATTAGCAGAGCGGCATCTGCTGTTAAAAACTAGCAGCGAGTGCCATTTGCTGTTAAAAACTAGCAGCGAGCGCCAACTGCCGTTAAAAGTTAGCTGAGAACACCATCTTAAATAAAACTAGCCTATAGCGCCATCTGTTGTTAAAAACTAGCGTAGAACACCACCTTTAAAAAAAAAATTTGCCTAGACCGCCATTTGCTGTTAAAAAATAGTGTAGAGTGCCATCTGTTTTCAAAACTAGCATAGAGCGCCATATGCTGTCAGGTCTAGCCTAGAACACCATATGCTGTTAAAAATTAGCCTAGAGTCCCATCTGCTGTTTAAAACTAGCGTAGAGCACTATACGCTGTTAAACAGCTAGCTAAAATTGGTAACTGCACTATCTGCTGTTAAAAACTAGTCTAGAGCACCATCTACTGTTTAAAAATAGCCTAGAGCGCTATCTGCTATTAAACAGCTAGCCTAGATCAGTATCTGCCGTTACAAATGAGCCTAGAGCGCCATCTGCTGTTAAAAAATTACCCTAGAGCACTATCTACTGTTCAAAACTAGCCTAGCACACCCGAGAGTGCAATCTACTGTTCAAAACTAGCCTAGCACACCCGAGAGTGTAATCTACTGTTCAAAACTAGCCTAGCACACCCGAGAGTACAATCTACTGTTCAAAACTAGCCTAGAGCACTGTCTGTTTTTAAAAACAGTAACAAAACATTTTGTAAACTCATCATCTAAATGATTTCACACCACAGCTCTAATAAATAAAAGTAACATTATGTTTGTTGTAGATGGATGCCGTCAACCGCAGTTGCTTTGTGTCGGCCGACTGCGGAGCCAATCGAGTTCGGCTCGTGGTGAAGTTCCCTGCCCAATATCCCAACAATGCAGCTCCATCTTTCCAATTCGTCCCTCCAACAAACATCTCGTCTTCCATGAAGATCAAGATACAGAAGGTTGAAACTCTGACACCCATCAGACTTGTCTTGACACATACTCAGTATCACATTGAAGCAGCAATGTCTCTTTGTAGATCCTGACCGATACGTCGCTTCAGAAGGTGAAGAGGAACCAGAACTGCTTAGAGCCGTGTGTCAGACAGCTGGTGTCCTGCCTAGAGTCAGATGGAGTCATGGTCAGTGAATCTTACTTCTGGATTTTGTTTAAAGGTCCTGTGAAGTGCTTTAAATTGTGCAATTATTTATTTGATGTTAATAACAGTAACTAATGAGGCGGGGCTTAGCAAGGTCATCAGTGACATCAGGTTGAAATAATTTCTCCTCTGTGTCTGAATGGGCGTTCAGGAAGATGGTTCGAACCCTTATGTGCTCACCAACCCAGTGACTCCTGCCCTTCCTGCTTTTCCTCGAGTGACCAACACTTACGGCTCGTACCAGGACGCCAACATTCCTTTTCCCCGCACCTCAGGGGCACGTTTCTGCGGGACAGGTGAATAATATAAGAAGGATGTTTTATATGCATTATTTATTTTAGATGCATTTTAATACACACATTTATTGAGTTTATTTAATTTTTTTAATTTGTGTTTTATAAAACCCCCAAAAGAAAATTTCAATACAAATGAATGAATGAATTATTATTATTTATTTGTTAATTAATGTATTTGTTTATTTATTTGATTAAATGATTAATTAATTGATTAATTATTTGAATGATTGAAAATTGATTAATTAATTAATTGATTTATGTATTTATTTATTTCTTTAATTAATTATTATTGTTTTTAGTTATTTATTAGTTTATATATATATATATATATATATATATATATATATATATATATATATATATATACTTGTTTATTTATTTACATATTTATTTATTGGTTTATTTATTTATTCATTTAGTTAGTTAGTTATTAATGTTTTTTATTTATTAGTTTATCTATTTATTCATTTATTTAGTTATTGTTTTTATTTATTTATTTACTTATTAGTATATTTGTTTATTTATTAGTTTATTTATATATTTATTTGTTAATTTATTTTTTGTTTATTTATTAATAAAATTGTTTTGTTTATATATTTATTAGTTTATTTATTTATTAGTTTATTTATTCATTCATTTCAGTAAGTTTTAATTGTCTATTTATTTATTCACTTGTTTGTTTTTTTATTTATTAGTTTATTCATTCATTTATTTAGTTATTATTGTTTATTTATTTATTTTATATTTATTTATTAGTTTAATACTAATAATTACACTACTATTATACTAATAATAATTATACTAATAATTATTGTTTATTAATTAATTTATTTATTTAAAACATTAGAATAAAAAAGTAAATAGCATTACGACTCGCAGATATTATGAGAATATAATATTAATCTATTTTAATAATAAAAATAATTTTCTGTATGATCAAACTAAAATCGAATAAAACAGATTTGTTGCTTTTCAATTCTTTCTCCAGTTGTGTGTTTATTTCTTAGTCCATGTTGCGAAAGCCAATCTGCAGTCTTATAACTAAAATTATCATGTAAATATTATTGTTTAAAAGAATTGCTTCATTTGTCCATTATAGGTTCCTTGGTGTATTTTACACGACCCATGACTATGCATCGAGCAACTCCTCCAACTGAACCCACTCCCAGGTCAATATTCATTCCTCTTTGTTTGTTTTTTCTTTTTTGATGTTGAACATAATGCTGTATTTTGTGTGTGTGTGTTTGTGTGTAGGTCTCTGTCTGCTCTTTCAGCGTATCACAGTGGTGTAATGACACCCATGAAGATGCGAACTGAGTCTCAGACCACGCTGAGGCTGTACAGCGGCAGCCCGACCCGCACAGACAAAGATCAAGTGTCCATATCGTCCTTCTACTACAAAGAGCGGGTGAGACTCGCCACAAAAATTACAGATACAAAACTCTGGCTAGAAGACTGGTCAGGTGTTGTTTGATTACTATTGTATATTTTTATTTTATTTGTTTTGTTTTGTGATTGTTTTGTTTTATTTATTTTTTGTATTTAATTTTATTAATAATAATACATTTTACAGATTTATTCAGGTTTTATTTTATATTTTGAAGTTTTTTTTTTTAATATTGTATCTTATATTTCTTTAATTTTCTTGTGCTTTTATTATATTATTATTATTATTATTATTAAAACGCTCTATATGCTGCTAGTTATTTTTGTACACGTTAAACATTTAAATCAATTAAATTAGAATAACAATAAAAGTAAAATAATTATTTTTTCTTTGTTTTATGTTTATTTTTTAGATAATTTTATTTTAATAATAATGTATTTTACAGATTTATTGATGTTTTTACTAAATAAAATTATTTATGTTTGACATTTTCACTTTAATTTTTTATATGAAATTTTCTGTTATTTTTTCCTTTATTATTATTTGTATCATTATTTACTTTATTGTGTTTTAGAATTATAGTATATACTAGTCTATATACTGTTTTTTTTTTGTTTTAGTTATTTTAGTCTAAGTTAAACATTTAAATAAGAAATAAAAGAATAATAATATCAAGAATAGGTAATGGATAAAATAATACAATTAAATAATTTTATATTTTATGCACTGTCATTTCAGTATCATTGACATACTAAATTCCTTTTTATTAGTAGAAGCTTTGGAATTAGTTTATATATAGTATGTATATTAAACTTGAGGTCCTGTAATCTAGTTAAGTGTTTTTCCCCTTCTTTATTATTGGTTTGTTTTGTGATTAGATAAAAAAAAATATATATTTATATATATATATATAGTTTTATTTCTCATTTGTAAAGTTTTTTTGCTGTGAGTTGAGAACATTAATTAAAGAGTAGAAACAAATTTGCTTAATCCTCCTTTACATTCATCCAGTTGCTAAGACTAGGAGTATCCCGCAAGTGCACAGAGACTCCCAAATGCCCGCAAATGAATGATAATTTCTTGCAAACCGGTCGTTAAATACATTGCACACCCCTCTCGCCCCTACTCGGATACGTCGCTCACTCCACCTCTGACACCCCTCAACAGGCCTGACACAGACACACACACAGACAGACACACACAACGCGCTGCAGACGTTTTGGCCCCAACGGCCTTCCATACTGGAGCGACTCCCCTCAGATTCAACACGCATGATCACGTTCCTCAAATTTGCTAAGCGTCCTAAACTAAGCGTCCTAAAGTATTACTGTATTTCACAAGGATTCTGACACAACAACGCGAAGCATACGCTTTCGTTGTGTTTAATGAGGAAACACGCTAAACTTGGAGGGCTCATGCTGAAAGGCAGAGTAATGCCCTGTCTTTGACAGCTCGCGACTTCACCAGGGGCCTCAAGTATCAACGCTGCGTACGCACAAAAACTTTGCGTACGCCAGGTTTCACGCTCAGAATCGCTCACGTTTGGATTTACTAACAATGAACTGAACGTGGGAATTTGCGCAGGTTCACGGCAGCTTTCTGGCAGGCGTACGCACATTTTTTGTGCGTGTCTGTTTTATTTCCATTGGCGACTCCTAGAGGCAGTTGTGTTAAATTCTTCTCTACAAAGTGTCTGATCCTTGCAATGGCGTCTGTATGAGACGGGTTCATATAGTAGGTATGTAAGATTTCCATACCATACAGTTGACCAGCTAAACATTAAAGCACAATTTTCAGCGGTCGCCTGTTTTCCCAATGTAATCTGAGCTATCTACTGCACACACATCGATATAAAGACACTATCTGAAGATAAATTTGCATGCGTGAATCAGAAACATTTCCATTCAATAAATGTGCAAATAAAATATGATGCACAAACTTATTAATGATTCCTACTTGTCTTTCTCGTGATAAATAGTGGGCAAAATCTGATATGTAGCGGGAAAAAAAAGAAGAATGAATTCATCAGACGCTGGATTCGAGCCGAGTTTATGCTCGAACGTGTCAGTACATAGTCATATGCTTCTTATGAGGTGCGCCACTGAGACTGCGAAGGGTACTGCAACATTTTACAGATATAAACCACACTATTTCTTTTTTAAATGCACTCAGTGCGATGTTCAGACCCAACTGTGTTAACCGTATCAGCTAAACTCTCCCACTCTATTTTTTTCTTTTGTTGTTAATTCCGGAGAACAAACTTGCAAATAACACCGTTTTCCTCCGGTCTACCTCCGAAAGCAGCACCTCCATTTCACATTCTGTTCAAAGTTTCTCTTTTTGCTTGATTTTGCTGTTGCTTTTTCGTTGGGTTTTGCCATTAGCATAGTCATTAGCATATTCATACGGGGGAGGAGGCAGGGAGGGGTTTTGTGCTCGTGCATGTTGCGCTCAGTTTCACGTTCATTCAGATGTACAAAAGAATATGCTTGAGATTCGGCGTACGCAGTGTTTCATACATCTGAATTTTTTTCTGCGTACGCACATTTACAGCTTTGTGCGTACGCAATGTTTTAGTAAGATTTCCACGCAAGTCTTCGTACATGAGGCCCCAGATGTTCTGAGTACATTTACATAAGACACCAATACTCCGATTTTAATATGATTAAGATAATACTCTTATTAAAATTCTTCCGTGTAGCCTTAAAAGGAACCTTACCTTAAAGGAACACCGAGTCACGAAATGCGGAGGATTTTCTTTCTGTTCGCCATGCGGTATCAACTTATAACAGATGTCGAAAGTTAAAAATGAAACACCCGAAATTGCATGAAACTCTGGATAACTTGTGATGCAACTAATTGTTTTATACTGGAACTTGCCTTCAAAAAGTGCTTCCTTGGTCTTATTCACATTTATTGCATATTAAACACACGTCCACCACAACAGGAAGTAAAAAAAACCTGAACTGCGTTAATTGCGTTAATTTTTTTAACGCGTTAATTATTTAAAATTAATCGCATGCGTTAACGTGTTAATTTTAACAGCGCTAATATATGTTATTTAATTGTATTAATAGTGTAATCATTTTATTGAATGAGGTTGTTTTTTTACATTTTAAATTTTCATTTTAATATTTTGATAAATTTCTTTAATTTTCTCGTTTACGTTTTTTTTCTCTCTACTATTATTAATATTATTATTATCCTCATTAAAATGCTCTATATGCTGTTTTAGTTATTTTAGTTAAACATTTAAATAAGAAATAAAATAATAACAATAAAATAAAAGTAAAATAATAATTCGTTTTTTTTTAGAATATTTATGATCCTTTGATTTATTTAACTACAACTGTTTATTAACAGCTGCTAATTAAGTTAAAGGTTTGATACTGATTAGAACTTGAAGTGGCAATGAGGTGTTAAAATATTTGACAAGGTCTTTGTAAAGTCTTGAAAAGGCAATTAAATTACCTTTAGGATTCCTGCATATACCCTGAAGTAATAATAAAAACAATTAAAAACATCTTTTTTATTAGTAGTAGTATTTTTTTGTATTGATTTTAATTTAATTAACCTAACGTTTAGCAATCTTCTTGTGTTTCCTCTTTTTATTCTATTTTTTAATTTTGGTATAGTTTTGTTTTATTTTTATTATTTTAGTGGAAGTTAAACATTTAAATAAATTGCTTTCTTTTCCAATTTTGTATTGTATATTTTATTTCATATTTTTAACGTTTTCTCTAACCGCACTGTCCAGCTCTGTTCCATTATGATTGAATAACATGTTTTTCTACCCTTTGTTTAGGTACAGTGTGTGTGGTGATTTTTGCTTTTCTCATGTCCTCTTTCACCCGCCTATTCCACCTGTTCAAAAGCCTTGTTTCCTCAGTTGATGGTCACTGTTGTTTTCTGCGTGCCGTGTTTCTCCTGTTGTTTCTGTGCTTGTGTCCCTCACTCATGTTGCTGTGGTGTGTTTTATCCAATCAGAAGCCTCTGTCTGCTGCCCGCCGCTGGTCAGTGCAGACTATTCATGAATGTCCGGTATTGACCTCCGACCCGCCTTCCCATTCATCCTCTCTTTCTTTCTCTCTTTTCTACTTGCTCTAATACCAAATCACTTTTTTGTTGTCGCTACATTTGCTGTTATACATTTCATGTATGGCACATCATCATCATCACAGCTCTGTAATTTTGCGCTGTAGTTTCTGCTTTGAAGAAAATTCATTACTAATTTATTGGGTGTTTAGAGAACATGAAAATGAAAGATCGTCTTATTTTGCTCTTTCTGTGTCATGTAAATGATCTAACATTGTAAATAGTATGCCTAAATGTTTTTATTAGTGCTGGGCAAAGATTAATCGTGATTAATCGCATTCAAAGTTTGTTTTAACATGATATATGTGTGTGTATTATATATATTTATTATGTATATGTGATACACACACATACATAGAAATAAATTATGCAAAACTATTTTGTTACATAGATATATAAATTTAAATTTAATTTGTATTATTGATATCTTACTTGTATGTGTGTGATTATTGACTCTCATTCACACACATACCTTACGAAAAATTTAGCTTACCCAATTTACATATAGCACATGTGTTTGGACTGTGGGGAAAAACGTAAGCACCCCGAGAAAAACCACGCCAACATGGAGAGAACATGCAAACTCCACACAGTAATGCCAACTGACCCAGCCAAGGCTCGAACTATATATTTAATATTTAACACACATTTAAATTGTTATTATTTTGTATGTGATTTATTTTTGCCCAGCATTAGTATATATATTAATATTTATATAGGTGTTTGTTTGTATATTTGTGTATCTTGTGCAGTATATAATTTTTGACTTATAAAAAATAAAAAATAATCAAGTCAGATAAATAATTTAGGTATTTATTTATGTTTTTTTTTTTCTCAAAGGCATTAGTTTGATTTATATTTCACATGAGCTGATAATAATTGATGGCTTGCATATTTTCCAATAATTTATTTAAGTTAATCTTCATGACTTTTTGAAAGCTTATTGTAATTCAAGCTATTTCTCTTTAGTGCATTAGTCAAATACAAAACAACTTAAAACAATTCATTTAGTAAATAAGTGTATTTATTATTTTAGTAATATTAAATATATAATTTATAATAATGATAATTGTGGCTCTTTTAATATTATAATTCAATTGATCTTAATTGTTATTTATCTAATTATTTATTAATATAGTAATAATAATAATCTGACATTTGTTAAAATATTATTTTTGCAGTGCAGTTTAATTGCATGACAATATTATTATTATTTTATTGTATTTTTATATAACAATAATAATGACATTTTTAAATATTATTATTATTATTTTCAGTGTAGTTAGTCAATCTATTAATTGCAAGACATTAATATTATTATTATGATTATTACTACTACTACTACTACTACAACAACTACTACTACTACTACTACTACTAATAATAAAAATAATAATAATAATACTTTTAATATAAGTATAATAATAATTATTATTATTTGCAGTGCAGTTAATTAATATATAAATTGCAAGATAACAATAACAATAATAATTCATAACAACAAGTATTATTAATAATAATACTATTGATTACATTACATAAAGAAATAAGAATAAAAATTATAATAATAAATCCAATAATCTGAAATGTCTTTATTATTATTATTATTATTTGCAGTGCAGTTAATTAATATATTAATTGCAATAATAATAATAATACTCATTATTAATAATATTGATTACATTCAATAATTATAAAAATTATAATATAAAACTATAATGAATGCAATTATCTGAAATGTATTATTAGTATTATTTGCATTGTAGTTAATTAATATATGAATTGCAAGACAACAACAACAATATTAATAATGAACATTAACAATTATTATTATTATTATTGATTACATAAATAAAAATAATAATACAAACTATAGTAATAAATCCAAAATTCTGAAATGTATTATAATTATTATTATTATTATTTGCTCTGCAGTTAATTAGTATATTAAATGTAAGAAAATATTAATAATAATAATTATTAATGATAATTATTAATAATAACAATAATATTTATTAAAATTATTGATTACATTGCATAATAAAAAATAAAAACTATAATAATAAAACAATAATCTGAAATGTTTTAATATTATTATTTGCAGTGCAGTTAATTAATATATTAATTGTAAGATAATAATAACAATGATTATTATTAATATTATTGATTACATTACAAAAAAATTAAGAAATGCATTTCGGTTAATTCATATATTAATTGCAAGACAGTAATAATAATGATAATAAAAATTAATAATAATAAAAATTATTATTATTTATTGCATTACATAATTAAAAAATAGCTATAATAATGAATGCAATAATATGAAATGTATTATTATTATTATTATTATTTGCATTGTAGTTATTATATTAATTGCAAGACAAAAATTAAAACAATAATAATAATTTATTTTTATGCATAATTCTCTTTTATTATGCTTTTCAATGGGATTTTTCATACTGTCCCATTCAGAACTTGCAATGTTTTTTTTTTGTTGTTTCGGTTAATCTAAACTATTTACTGTGTTCAGAAATCACGGCGCTGGAAAGGCAAGAGAGAGGGAGGAGATTACAGCAACAGACCCATCAAACTGGCTGGAAAAGTCATCATCCAGGAGATCTCGTGTCTGCTGTCTGTGCACAAAGCGCTCGGGGAGACCTATGTGTATGTTAGCAAACACTCAGACTCAAATGATGCGACTTCTGCTTTATTGTGGCATCGATTTGCTCAAATGTCATCTTGATCTGCTGCATATCTGTTTTTCTTTCCCTCAGGCTGAATGTTAATGACATACAGGACACGTGTCAGAAGAATGGAGCAGCGGCCTTAGCTGTGGCACGCAGAGATTTAGCAAAGGTATGTGATTTAGTAAAGGTATGTGCTCGACGACGAAAGTCCTTTATTAATTAATTTATTAATTTATTTATTTGTTTATTTAATTAATTAATTTATTTATTTACTTGTTTATTTATTTATTTGTTTATTTGTTTGTTTGTTTATTTAATTATTTTATTTAATTTTATTGTGTTTTAACAATGCAATCATATTATTAGCCATGATATTGGATGACATGAAGTTCAATAGTAAAACAGGGATGCAATGAATATTAAATAATAGAAAAAATATTAATAATAATAAATCATCCAATCATATAATATTTATAATATATAAATATCTATAATAAGTCCTTTGTTTTTTATTTGTTTTTTACTGTAAGTATTTTGTTATGTAGTAATTAAATAATTTCACAATAAAGTCACAAATAAAGTCACAGAAAATTCAGCATATTAGGTAATCATGCAGAAAAATTTAATATTTTTTAATATAATATTTACCCATTAAAACAAATAAATTGCCTATATAGTCAACGTGTGTTCGTCATGAGAAACATAACAAATTACATCCCACAGTAAAATCCATGTTAAACTTAATAAATAAATAAGAGACTTTGAAGGTCCTCTGTAGGCCAGTGTTTGACGTATGATGTAATTTCAGTTGAAACATGAAGCTCCTCCCCTTCAAAAATAAAATAGCCAGTTTATATCACATCTCCACCAGCCGTAGTTGAGAAGAAGTGTCTCTATTCATAAGTCTATAACAAGTTTATAATATAATAATTCATACATGTATACATATTTTTAATTATGTGTATACCTTTGGGGTTACCTACGGGGAGACGATACAGGAAAACAAGCAGACAAAAAAATATTACAAATTCAAGGGCTGTTGCAATAATGAATGGACATTAAATTGAGGGTGTTTCTGGCCAAAACCTTTTTAATCTTACTCACTTTTTAACTTGCTGCTAGGAAATGCACTTGCCACTTTATACGCATGGACATTAAATAGTATGCATTTCTGGCCCACATTTTAGTCACTTTTAAATTTAAAAGCTGCTAGAAAATGCACTTTATATGCACATCATAAGCCCTTTTAGTATTGTATTGTTACTGCTTTTATAATTAATTATTGTTGCCATTTTACCTTTTTATCTCTTGTTGTTATTGTTGTTGTTTTAGATAAATAGAAATGCACTAAAGGGAAGGGCAAACATAAATTTTGTTGTATTTTGTACAATGACAAAGTTTCTGATTCTTCTGAATTGCAGGTTTATCATTTCATATAAAGTTTTTTTTAATCAAATTAAAGGGACAAACACCATTCTTATTTCCTTAAAAATGCTTTAAAACTGATTTTATGTTTTACATTTTTCAAAGAAGTTTTCTGTTGGAATATTATTAATGTAATTAATTTATGTGACGCAAAGTTGAACTTTTAGCATGATTACTTCAGTCTTTTTCATCACAGAATTATTCAGGAAGCAATCTAATATGCCTATTTGCTACTAAAGGAACATTTAGCAAGCAGAAAACCTAATAACAACTATTAAAAATTCATAAACAACCACCAAATAATAATATTAGAATGATTTGTGAAGTATCTTGTGGCACTGAATAACATTTGTGGCACCTTGTTAGCACCAATAACCATCTGGTTTTCCGATATTTTCCCTCTTTTTTCATTAAAAGGTTAAAAAAAGACACTAAAAAAGATAAAACATTCATATCGTTGTATTTTAATGAAATTAATGCAGCGCTGGTGGACATAATCATTATACATGCATAAAAGAAATGCTTTTCAAATTCATGCTTTTCAAGTTCAGATTTTATTTTGTCACTTGCTGTAGACAGCCATACACAGTACGATGCACAGTACGATATGCAGTGAAATGCTTATACAGCCGCCAGTAAATTTCTTTATGGAACTAATAATATGGACGTTAAAATGCATCAATAAGACTTTTTTAAGGAAAATACTGTGAAAATGTCCTTGCTCTGTTAAACATCATTTGGAAAATATCTGAAAAAGAAAAAAAAAAATCACAGGAGCGCTAACAAGTCTGAATCTAAATGATAGATTATAATAAGAAGTGAAAACACAGACACACTTCTGTACTGCTAATTTACCACTGTTTCACACTTTATGTTTCAGGTATGGGCACTCGCCTCAGCGTCCACTAATCTTAACCTGAGTCCTGACCCAGACCCTGATGCTGGAACTCCCTGGGCCAAACATCCATTTGGGCGACACCTGCTGGAGACACTGTGAGTTGCTTCTCAACCCGGGACAACATTATGTGTGCATTATCCACTCCATGATGCTGAAATTTAGAAAATTGAGGGAAATTATATTGATTTTGAGCCCAGAGTTGAATTTATATACTTATTGTGGGGGTCGAGATGAGAGAGGAAAATGACAACAGTCAACCAGAGTCCGAATGGCTGCTGAGGTTTTCACTCAGCCATAGTGTTTTTAAGACTAAATGTTTGCACTGACACAGCTTTTTTTTGTCTAAACTGGATTGAATTAGATCTGAAAATTAAATTAAAATTAAATAAATTAATGATTTAAAATAAATAGTAAAAAATTTGCATTTTTTTCTAAGGAAATGTTGTATTGTAAGATTATTCGTCATTGCAATACTCAACAACAATATACACAGTGTCTGCTGGAAAGTCTTACCCCCGGTTCCACAGACAAGGCTTAAGCCTAGTCCTAGACTAAAATGTAAGTCTGAGCTCTTTCAAATAAAATAAAATTGCACTGATTGATTTTTAAATATATCAGTGCCTTTGTTTTGTTTCAAGATACACACCAGTAATGTTTTTTTCACTAAGTATGTTTATAAAAACTACCCAAATGTCTTAATTGAACTATAGCCTAATCCTAAATAGTCTAAGCCCTGTCTGTGAAACCAAGCCTTAATGTTTTACATTTTAACAAACAATTTTAAAAACAAGCTTTTAGACCTTAAAAAGTTGCTGAATTCACCGAAATGTTGTTTTTGTTGTTGTCTTAAATCATTTTAAACATGTCTTAATTTTGCTTTGCCCAAGTAAAGCTACTCAATCAAGTATCTTGAAAAATATCCAGCAAAATATTATTTACTGTCATCATAGCAAAGATAAAATATATCAGTTATTAGAAATGAGTTTTTTAAACTATTATGTTTAGAAATGTGTTGAAAAAATCTTCTTTTCTTCCTTCCGGAACAAATAATAATTCAGAAGAACTAAAAATTCTGACTTCAACTGTATTTCTATAATTTATGAACTTATCCTCATTTTCATGTGATCTTAGCATTTGTCTGTTTCTTCTGCAGGCTTGAGCACTACAGTCAGCTGAGCGATGTTCAGAGTCTGGCCATGTTGTGTAGTGTGTTCAGAGGTCACGGAAGTCCTCAGGAATACTTCACTCTTTATGGACATCAGCAGCCACGGCCGGCAGTCTTCACGCCACACCACTCACGATATGTACGTCTGCACAAATTCATTTATCAGTTCATCAATTCTGTACCGACTCTGAGAAAACCACACAATAGACCCTTTTCACAAGACGCGTTTAACAGTCATCAGCATCTTAAATCCTTAAAAGTTTTTAATATTTGGATTTTTCAAAAAAAACTTATGAACATTTATATGTATTTATGCATATATTATACCCTTATTGCATCAAGTTACAAAAAAAATACAAATAATTACCAACCTCTAAAAAAACAATTACCACTTATGGTGTTTCTCACGCAGTGCCGGGACAGTAAATTTGACATTATCCTCTCCTCTGGCTGCCGTCATCAGTCTCACTCAATTTTTTTTTCCTTTTCCTGAAAGTCTTTATAACACCATCGTGGAGTTTTGCTTTTATTATTTCACCAAATAGGATTGTAAAAAAATATTTGTTGTACTCTCCCGTTCACTGTACTCTAAGTTTTTCCATCTTTGACGACTTCCGTTACTGAGAAACTCAATGTGAAAGGCAAAAAACAGTGCAGGTGAACAGTGTAAAAGAATAACTAATATTCATCACCCAGTTGAATGATCACATTAAGAATTGCTAACTTTTTTGCGTTTTATATTTTTTCTGTTATATTCAAATATGCCAATAAGGCATTAATTAATGAAACATTCACTAATTTGCATGTTTCTAGCACAAAAGTTTGTAATATTAAAGTGTGTTTAACCCTATTAGAGTCAAAGGCTTTACAGAGTAATTTTGGGGATCTGTTTTTATCACTTTGAAAATACTGTACTTTTTTTTTCTAAAATAAAATGTTGCATATAATCAGGCATATTATGTATTAACATATGATCCATAAAAAAGCTTTCAGATGATAGATATGAATACACCTGGGGTGTGTAACGAATGTAAGAACTGGGCCATATGTACTTGCAACATAAAAGAAAATTTTGCGAACAAAAAATAAAGTATTGAGCAAAAAAATGTAATTTGTAAAATTTGCATGTAAAATGCAAATCTCAATAAAAATCGCAAAGGGAAAATTGGGTTTTGAGAAATAAAAAGGAATTTTGCAAACAAAAAAAAGAGCTGCAAATCAATATCAAGTAGTGCAAAAAAATATCTATATACACTTGAAGTCAGAATTATTAGCCCCCTGTTTATTTTTTTTCCACAATTTCTGTTAAACAGGGAGAAGATTTCTTCAACACATTTCTAAACATCATATATTTAGTAACTCATTTCTAATAACTGATTGATTTGATCTTTGCTATGATGACAGTAAATAATATTTGATTAGATGTTTTTCAAGAGACTTCTATACAGCTTAAAGTGACATTTAAAGGCTTAACTGGGTTAATTTGGTTAACTTGGCAGATTATAGTAATTAGGCAAGTTATTGTATAACGATGGTTTGTTCTGTAGACTGTGGGAAAAAAATTGCTTAAATGGGCTAATAATTTTGTCCCTAAAATGGTGTTTAAAAAATTTAAAACTGCTTTTATTCTAGTCGAAATAAAACTAATAAGACTTTCTCATGAAATAAAAATATTATCGAATATGCTGTGAAAATTTCCTTGCTCTGTTAAACATCATTTAGAAAATATTTAAAAAAAGCAAAAAAATCTTATTAAAAAAAAAATCAAATGGGGGCTAATATTTCTGACTTCAACTGTGTATTAGCAATTTTTTTTTAAATATACATATATTTCCAAAAAACATTTCCAATATTGCCTTTGCAAAACTTCTCAAGCCAATTACAACGCTCATTTTGATTTGCGAGCTTTACTGTTTGACGATTTAAACACCCCCCCCCAAAAACAAAAGATTCAGGTATTTTACTTATTCTCGATTAGATTCATGACAGCGATTCATGGCTGATTTCTTTGGCTGTTTCTCAATATGCGTTCTTCAGTGGTCTTGCGTCCTCGTGTTCTCGTGCAACGTCATCATCAGCTGCCTAAGTTCAGTTCCAATACTCAAGACCGCAAGTACGGAGGACGCGTGAGTCACAGTTCCTGTGACTCCGCCCCCTTGCCAAATCGGGGCCAGAAATTGAAACCCACAGAAATGTAAAGTGCAAAAAGAAAACAGCATTGCAAACTGAAAAGCACATCAAAATGAGCGTTGCAATTGACTTGAATTGAAAGGTTTTGTAAAGGCAATACTGGGGGAAAAATTCGCAAATATATGTATATTTTTTAAAATTTGCAAAAAAAACTTTCTTTGCACTCTTTCTTTCCTCAACTCAATTTTCCCTTTTTTATTTATTTAATTAATTTTTATTTGACAATTTTTTTGCTCAATACTTTATTTTTTGTTTTGCAAAACTTTCTTTTATGTTGCAAGTATATATGGCCCTAGATTCAAAATCTACAGACAAACTGATGAAGTGCAACAAAATGCACACTTAAAGATGTATTTTTGGATTTTGACTTTACATTAGACTGACCAAATCCTAGAATTTACAAATGCATGAAAAGAAATGTGTTTTTGGCTGCTGAAAGTTGCTTTAAAGGGGACCTATTGTGCTAAATTCACATTTATAAAGAGTTGTGTGACATTAGTTTGTGAATATATAGCCAGCCTCTAATGGTAAAAGTCAATTAATTCTATTTTATTCTAACAGTCTACATAAAGTTTCAAAAAATTCATTCATTTTCCTTTGGCTTAGTCCCTTTATTCATCGGGGTCGCCACAGCAGAATGAACCACCAACTTATCCTGCATATGTTTTACACAGCAGATGACCTTCCGGCTGCAACCCAGTACTGGGAAACATCCATACACACTCATTCACTCACATATACTAAGGCCAATTATGTTTATCCAATTCATCTATAGCGCATGCACTGTGGGGGAAACCGGAGAACCTGTTGAAAACCCACGCCAACACGAGGAGAACATGAAAATTACACACAGAAACGCCTACTGGCCCAGCCGGGACTCGAACCAGCAACCTGCTTGCTGTGAGGCGACAGTGCTAACCACTGAGCCACCATGTCGCCTTTCAAAGACCTATAAAACATTATTTGTGGGGTATTTTGAGCTAAAACTTTACAAAGACACTCTAGGGCAATCAGAGATTTATTTTACATCTTATAACAAGGGGTATTATAGGCCCCCCTGTAAATGTGTCTTTTTTTAAATTAGCGTGAGTTTGTGTTTATATGTTTGCCTTTATAAATGAATTCTCTTTTAGCCCAGTTTCACCTCCAGTTCTGTCACTTCTGGATCGTGTTCAAGCACCTCAGACTCTGCAAACACTCCCTGGAACACAGGTGAGATTTCATTCATAGAGTTTAGTGTTTATGAAAAAAGCAAAATCTTTATTGTGTGGTGGTGTGATTTGGTTTTTACCCTCTTCTTTGGTTTTATAACAACAGATTGGGCTGGATTAGTGATTGTTAATTGATGAAAAATTGCGTCTGTCATGTTACGTAATGCATTTATATATCTGCAAAACATTTGATAATTTATTTTGTGTAAATTGTTGTGTATTTATTAATAATATTATTAACATTACTAAATAATAATTTTAAAAAATGTATAATAAACCTAAAAAAAAAAATAATAATAATATTTAGGTATTTAATGACATAAGAAAACTCGCGGATGTCATGTGAAATAATGCGTTTATAAATGTGCGAACATAAGTAATTATTCAAATTAATTATAAATATTAATTCACAGTAGTTTATATTGTTATTTGGTTTGCAATTAATAAGATTAATAGGAAATTTTATACGACAATCTATTATTTATTATTAATTTATTTAATTACTACTATGTTACATTAAATATTTAATTATATACGAATATGTGCATCTGTCATTTAAATTAATGCATTTAAAATTGTGCAAACATTTGATAATTTATTTTGTGTAATTGTGTAATTTATAATAATTAATATTAATTTCTATTGTTATTTGGTTTGCTATGAATAAGATTAGTAAGCAGTTTTTAATTATTTAATGACATAAGAAAAACACTTCTGTAAGCTAATGCATTTATAAATGTGCAAACATTTGACAATTATGTTAAATAACAAAATAATTATTGTAAATTTGTGTCAAATAATAATTTGTATTGTTATTTGGTTTGCAATTAATAAGATTAAGAAAATTCAGATTTCAGATTTTATTATTTATTTAGTTACATTAATTATTTAATTAGTTGATCAGTTGGTTGGTCTGATTGTTTGTATTAATTGTATTTAATAGTAGTGTTCTATTATTTTCAAAAAATAATTAGAATATTAATATTAAGAAGGATTATTATTGTTATTATTACTTTTTTAAAAATGTAATTTATTAAAAAATGTTATTTTAAATGTTGTTGTAGATATTATTTGGAGTTTGTTGTTTCCTTTTTCAGGTGGACGTGAGTCAGAACATCCTCCTTCATGGGGAGAATCTACTCCGGATGACTATCGCTATGCAAACCAGACTTACACAGACCCGCGAGAACGAGAAAAAGAGCAGCACGACATGAACAAAAGGTTTGACGGAACACACTAACATCACTTTAATACCTTCAAACATAAAGAACGAGACTTTAATTGTGCTGTATTTACATTTTTGACTCTTCTAAACCATAAAAATACCAAAATATGTTTGCAGATATTTAGGAAACAAGCCAAATGAACATACTTGTTTATCTGAGAAACAACGCTAAAGTCAGATATTCTCCTTTAAATATGTGTGTCAGGATGTTTGTTTGTTTAGTTATGGTCTCTATAACCAGCCCACTACCAGTAACCTCAGCATCTGAGGTTGCCTTCTATTTTGACTCTTCTAAAGCATAAAAATACGATAACATGTTTGCAGATATTTAAGAAACATGCTACTGTAAGTGAACATACTTGTTTATCTGAGAGACAACGCTAGAGTCAGTTATTCTCCTTTGAATACTGTATGTGTGTGCCATGTCAGGATGTTTGTTTTGTTGTGGCCTCTATAACCAGCCCACTACCAGTAACCTCAGCATCTGAGGTTGCCTTCTATTTTGACTCTTCTAAAGCATAAAAATACGATAACATGTTTGCAGATATTTAAGAAACATGCTACTGTAAGTGAACATACTTGTTTATCTGAGAGACAACGCTAGAGTCAGTTATTCTCCTTTGAATACTGTATGTGTGTGCCATGTCAGGATGTTTGTTTTGTTGTGGCCTCTATAACCAGCCCACTATCAGTAACCTCAGCATCTGGGGTTGCCCTCTATTTTGACTCTTTTAAAGCATAAAAACACCATACTATGTTTGCAGATATTTAAGAAACATGCTACTGTAAGTGAACATACTTGTTTATCTGAGAGACAACGCTAGAGTCAGTTATTCTCCTTTGAATACTGTATGTGTGTGCCATGTCAGGATGTTTGTTTTGTTGTGGCCTCTATAACCAGCCCACTACCAGTAACCTCAGCATCTGAGGTTGCCTTCTATTTTGACTCTTCTAAAGCATAAAAATACGATAACATGTTTGCAGATATTTAAGAAACATGCTACTGTAAGTGAACATACTTGTTTATCTGAGAGACAACGCTAGAGTCAGTTATTCTCCTTTGAATACTGTATGTGTGTGCCATGTCAGGATGTTTGTTTTGTTGTGGCCTCTATAACCAGCCCACTACCAGTAACCTCAGCATCTGAGGTTGCCTTCTATTTTGACTCTTCTAAAGCATAAAAATACGATAACATGTTTGCAGATATTTAAGAAACATGCTACTGTAAGTGAACATACTTGTTTATCTGAGAGACAACGCTAGAGTCAGTTATTCTCCTTTGAATACTGTATGTGTGTGCCATGTCAGGATGTTTGTTTTGTTGTGGCCTCTATAACCAGCCCACTACCAGTAACCTCAGCATCTGAGGTTGCCTTCTATTTTGACTCTTCTAAAGCATAAAAATACGATAACATGTTTGCAGATATTTAAGAAACATGCTACTGTAAGTGAACATACTTGTTTATCTGAGAGACAACGCTAGAGTCAGTTATTCTCCTTTGAATACTGTATGTGTGTGCCATGTCAGGATGTTTGTTTTGTTGTGGCCTCTATAACCAGCCCACTATCAGTAACCTCAGCATCTGGGGTTGCCCTCTATTTTGACTCTTTTAAAGCATAAAAACACCATACTATGTTTGCAGATATTTAAGAAACATGCTAAATAAACATACTTGTTTATCTCAGGAACAATGCCAAAGTCAGTTATTCTCTTTTATATATGGGCGTTCAATTTCCGATTGTTTTTTTTTGGGGCCTCTATAACCTGCCCACTACCAGTTATCCAGTTATATGTCAGCACCCGGGGTTGCCTTTGTGGAGAAGCGCATATTTCTGTTCAGTCTTGAAGGCTGTCTATATATATGCAACCGAAATTATGAAATGATATGCAGATTCACAGTTATTAAAATTCACATGAAGTGGTTTTTAATTAGCAAACAATACAAATATTAGCGATGTAAATATTAACTGATGAGTTAAAGTGTAAGGCTTGATCACCTGGCATGTTGGTTTTTTTCTTGTGTTGTCAATCTGGCAACCTGCATGTGTGTCAAGTCAAAGGAGGGGACACATAATCTACTATTTTGAATATGGACTGCAATACATAATTCAGCCACTAGGTGTCAATACTACATGCTGCACCTATAAAGATCTCCTCTGGTCCTCAGGTTACTGGACCCCTCCAATTCCTGGCAGTTTGACGACTTCAAGAAGTGTTACGGAGAGATCCTGCACCGCTGGGGCATGAAGGACAAGAGGGCAGAGGTGCTTAAATTTGTTTCCTGCCCTCCAGAGCCACACAAAGGCATAGGTAAGTTAAAGAGAGAGTTCACCTGAAAATTGAAACCCTCAACTTCAGATCGTCCAATAAATCAAACTGTAGTCAGAAGTATTAGCCCTCCTGAATTATTAGCCCCATCTGTATATTTTGTCCCTCAATTTCGGTTTAACAGAAGGAAGATTTTATTTCAACACATTTTTAAACATAAAAGTTTTAATAACTGATTTCTCTTTTTCTTTGCCCTGATAACAGGACATCACATTTGACTATATATTATTCAAGATAGTAGTATTCAGCTGGAAGTGATATTTAAACGCTTAATTAATTAATCAGTTTAGGGTAATTAGGCAAATCATTGTATTACAGTGGTTTGTTCTGTAGTTTATTGAAAATAAAATATTGGTTAAGTGGCCTTTTTTGAATGGTTTACTAACGGCCTTGAGCGTTTTGCGCTGCTTATGTGCTCTGCGCGCCCGGTGTTTTAACAGCCTGCTCATTCATTCATTTTCTTGTCGGCTTAGTGCCTTTATTAATCCGGGGTCGTCACAGCCGAATGAACTGCCAACTTATCCAGCAAGTTTTTACGCAGCGGATGCCCTTCCAGCCGCAACCCATCTCTAGGAAACATCCACACACACACACACACTTATACACTACGGACAATTTAGCCTACCCAATTCACCTGTACCGCATGTCTTTGGACTGTGGGGGAAACCGGAGCACCCGGTGGCTACCCACGCGAACGCAGGGAGAACATGCAAACTCCACACAGAAACGCCAACTGAGCCGAGGATCGAACCAGCGACCCAGCAACCTTCTTGCTGTGAGGCGAAAGTTATGTTCATACAGTATGTGCTAACTTTAACTAATTAACTAACTAATAGCTTTTAACATGTAAAGTAACTAATAAAGTTATGGTAAATAATAACCTTAACCTTCCGAATTCGATATTAATGCAATACAAATACAAAACCTTTTAAAAACTAGCCAACGTGAGCTAACAAAATCAATATGGTTCGTTTCGATTTCATTTGTACTTCAAGGGGCACAACATTAGTCTAGAATAGGAGTCACCAATCTCGTTCCTGGAGGTCCGGTGCCCTGCAGGGTTCGGCTCCAACTTGCCTCAACACACCTGCCTGGGTGTTTCAAGTATAACTAGCAAGACCTTGATTAGCTGGTTCAGGTGTGTTTGATTAGGGTTGGAGCTAAAATCTGCAGGACACCGGCCCTCCAGGAACAAGTTTGGTGATCCCTGGTCTAAAATCAGTAATATCTGCAGTGTGGGTGAATGTTAAACTCTTCGACAAATGTTTAACACTGCATTTGTGACTGGGGTCTCTTTGCTGTGCAGAGTTTGGCGTTTACTGCTGTCACTGTCGCAGTCAGGCTCGCGGCACACAGTGCGCCGTCTGCAAGCGCTTCACCTTCCAGTGCTCCATCTGCCATGTGGCCGTCCGCGGCTCCTCCAACTTCTGCCTGAGCTGCGGCCACGGTGGACACACCAGCCACATGATGGACTGGTTCCGCTCACAAGACGTCTGTCCCACCGGCTGCGGCTGCCACTGCCTCCAGCAGAGCACTTTCTGAACAACACGAACAAGTAAGACTAGGCCTCAAAACCCAAAAACTGTACTGTAGCTGCTTCTGGATCAGATATGATCCAAGAGCTGTAAATATTAACCTTATTATAGGTCTAACCAGCCTAGTTAAAAGGGATAGTTGACCCAGAAATGAAACCTGTCATCATTTACTTGCAAACCATTTTTTTGGTTTATTAGAAAAGAAGATATTTTGAAGAATGCTGGAAGCCTGTAACCATTCACTTCCATAGTATTTGTTTAAAAACAAAACAACCACTGACTTCTATAGTGTTTGTTGTTCCTGTTATGGATGCTAATAGCTGCTTTTTAAACTAATACTAAACAAATACTATGGAAGTCAATGGTTACAGGTTTCCAACATTCTTCCATTGACTTTCATAGTATTTGTTGTTCCTATTATGGATGTTAATGGCTGCTTTTTAAATAAATACTAAGCAAATATAAAGCAGCTATTTGTTTATTTGTTCAGTTTTTGTTAATAAATGAAAATTCTGTCACTCACATGTTCCAAACCAGTTTGAGTTTTTTAATATTTTTGGTTTAAAAGAAAAGAAGATGTTTTGAAGAATGCTGGAAACCTGTAACCATTGACTTCCATGGTATTTGTTTATTTGTTTGGTATTTGTTTAAAAAGCAGGCATTGACGTCCATGGTATCTGTTGTTCTTATTATGGTTGTTAAACAAACACTAAACAAATAAATACTATGGAAGTCAATGGTAACAGGTTTCCAGCATTCTTCAAAATAAAATTATCCATTTGTTCATTTGTTTAGTATTAGTTTACAAAGCAGCCATTTACTTCCGTAGTGTGTGTTGTTCCTGTTATGAATGTTAATGGCTGCTTTAAAAAAAAAATACTGAACAAATACTATGGAAGTCAATGGTAACAGGTTTCCAGCATTCTTTAAAACATAATGCAGCCATTTGTTTATTTGTTAAAAAATGAAAATTCTGTCACTCACATGTTTGAGTGCGACTCTGCCACTCAACCAGTTTGAATTTATTTATTTTTTTGATTAAAAGAAAAGAAGATATTTTTAAGAATGCTGGAAACCTGTAACCATTGACTTCCATATTATTTGTTCATTTGTTTAGTATTTGTTTAAAAAGCAGCCGTTGACTTCTACAGTATTTGTTGTTCCTACTATGGATGTCAATGGCTGCTTTTTAAGCAAATACTAAACAAATACTATGGAGGCCAATGGTTACAGGTTTCCAGCATTCTTCAAAATATAAAGCAGCCATTTGTTTATTTGCTTAGTATTAGTAAATAAATGAAAATTCTGTCACTCACATGTTCCAAAACAGTTTGAGTTTTTTTTTTTTTTTTTTTTTTGGTTTAAAAGAAAAGAAGATATTTTGAAGAATGCTGGAAACCTGTAACCATTGACTTCCATAGTATTTGTTTATTTGTTAAAAAAAGCAGCTGTTGACTTCCATTGTATTTGTTGTTCTTATTATAGACGTTAATGGCTGCTTTTTAAACAAATACTATGGAAGTCAATGGTTGCAGGTCTCCAGCATTCTTCAAAATATCTTCTTTTTTTAACTGAAAAAAAGCTCAAACTGTTTTTTGTTAATAAATTAAAATTCTGTCATTCACATGTTCCAAACCAGTTTGAGATTTTTTTTTTGGTTTAAAAGAAAAAAGATAGTTTGAAGAATGCTGGAAGCCTGTATCCATTGACTTCTTTAGTAATCGTTTAGTATTTGTTTAAATTGCAGTCATTGACTTCCATAGAATGGTTACAGGTTTTCAGCATTCTTCAAAATATCTTATTTTGTGTTTAACGGAACAAAAACATCAAAACTTCATTGTAACAAATCAAGAGCGAGTACATAATTACAGAAGGTTATTTTTTGGGTGAACTATCCCTTTAATGAGTCAAATTGTAATATGAAGTGCTGTTATTTTGCACTTTTTATACCTGTTGATTTGAGTAGAGCATGTGTTTGCTCTATGAGGTGCCAAGGAAATTGATCTGTGAAATTAGCTGGAGAAAAGGGAAGATATTTATGATTATGAGGCGAGAATGTTTTTCCAAATGTGTTTTGGTGGCTCTTTTCATCTAAAATGAATGTTTCTTTTTAGAGGAGAATCTTTGTTTGGTTTTGAAGGATTATTCACCGTGTACAGTACGCGTGCCATAAACATATTAATACATTTGATAGTACAGGGCTTTGTATGACACTTGATTTGTTGTAATGTTGCTGGAAACATTTCTTTAACTCTTTTATGAAAAAGTAATAACTGTCATCACTACCTCAAATAAACGACAGATTGTAACAAACGCTTTGTGTACTGAATTACTGTATTTATGGTGGTCAAAAGCAATGTGGTGACATTATTTTAGCATCACTGAATGTGTTTTTTGTTTTTATGTTAAAGTGTTTGACATTTATTGTCTGTATTTTTTGGATAGTTTTTACTTCAAGATCATTTCATTCAACGTCATTTTAATGCATTTCAATACACGAATCCACTTTTTCTATGGAAAATAAGTTGCTATGTTGTCCTAATCCAAGACTTGTAGATTAGATATTAGATTATAAACATTACAGAAAAATAGAAGTTTTTATTTTTATTTTACCAATGATGTTTTTGATTTAATGATTATTTTTTTGTTTATATTATTATTGATAATATTGTTATTTATTAGTTTATTTTTTATTATCTTGTAAATAAACTTGTTTATATAAATTATTAATATTTATTAGAAATTAGAAATCTCTCTTTCTTTATACACACTCACCGGCCACTTTATTAGGTACACCTTTCCAACTGTCAATCAGCCAATCACATGGCAGCAACTCAATGCATTTATGCATGTAGACATGGTCAAGACGATCAGCTGCAGTTCAAACTGAGCATCAGAATGAGGAAGAAAGGTGATTTAAGTGACTGAACGTGGTATGGTTGTTAGTGCCAGACTGTTGCTCTGAGTTTTTCAGAAACTGCACATCTGCACCTCACGCACAACCATCTCTATGGTTTACAGAGAATGGTCAGAAAAAAAAGAGAAAATATCCAGTGAGCGGCAATTCTGTGGGCGCAAATGCCTTGTTGATTTCAGAATTCAGAGGAGAATGGCCAGACTGGTTCCAGCTGATAGAAAGGCAACAGTACCTTAAATAACTACTCGCTACAACTGAGGTCTGCAGAAGAGCATCTCTGAACACACAACACACCCAACCTTGAGGCAGATGGGCTACAGCAGCAGAAGACCACACCCGGTGCCACTTCTGTCAACTAAGAACAGGAAACTGAGGCTACAATTCACACAGGCTCACCAAAATTGGACAATAGAAGATTGTAAAAACATTGCCTGGTCTGATGAGTCTCGATTTCTGCTTCAACATTTGAATGGTCTGGTCAGAATTTAGTGTCAACAACTTGAAAGCATGGATCCAACCTGCCTTGTATCAACAGTTCAGGCTGGTGGTGGTGGTGGTGTAATGGTGTAGGTGGGGTATTTTCTTTCCACACTTTGGGCCCATTAGTATCAACTGAGCATGGTCTCAATGCCACAGTCTACCTGAGTATTGTTGCTGACCATGTCCATCCCTTTATGACCACAGTGTACCCAGTGTACCCATGTACCATAGCTACTTCCAGCAGGAAAATGCACCATGTCATGAAGCGTGATTCATCTCAGACTGGTTTCTTTCACATGATAATAAGTTCACTGTACTCAAATGGCCTCCACAGTCACCAGTCATCCAATTGAGCTCCTTTGGGATGATGAGAATCTCCCATTCAACCAAATGGATGTGCACCCGACAAATCTGCAGCAACTGCATGATATTCTGTCAATATGGACCAAAATTTCGGAGGAATATTTCCAGTACCTTGTTGAATCTATGCTGCGAAGGATTGAGGCTGTTCTGAAGCTAAAAGGGGGTCCAACCCGGTACTAGTAAGATGTACCTAATAAAGTGGCCTGTCAGTGTATATTTCTATATGTATGTATATTTATTTTATTTATATATATTTTTTCTCCAAGTATGAAAAGGTTAAGGACCTGCATTTGCCACCTTCAAGTGCACTGAAGATGGATCATTACGCCTTATTATTACCTTCATTCCTCTCAAAGAAGGCTCTTTTCGTATCATTCTGCTGTCTTGTGTGCTCATTCATGCTCTTATTGATGTGTGTGTTGTTCAGTGTGTGTGAAGTGTATTAATCTGGAGTCTGTCATTGATTTACGGGTAATGATCTAGCTTGACCTGTCAGCGACCTGCTTTATTCAACATCACACCGAAGATACTGCTGGATGATGACGCTTTGGTCCAGAAACCTGCTGATCACATGGCAGTAGATTGTATTTAGGCTTAGCAGAGTGTGGACATTTTGTAAGTATTTACAATAATGATGTGAGCGATTGAGACTGCATTCGTTCTTCAAAATTTTGGTTTATAATCCTCTAAAAAGAGTTTCTAAATAAATAAACCCAAACATTTGCTATTGCACATGCCACACATTTAACAATTAACATTTGCATGCATAATTTACTTTTCACAAGATTTTACATTGAAAACACATCACACATTTACATTATAGTATATATTTTATAAGATATTAAAGTAGTAGAATAGAGTAAAATAGACAAGTTTATTTTTATACCACAAATGCTCTGTCTAAAACAATGTATAATAGAAATAATATTATCGATGTTATTTTTGTTATTATTTATTTGTGCATTTTATAATAAAAAATTAATAAAATTATATTTAATACAATAAAATATTGGACCCTGTGAAACAACGACTGTATATAAGGTGTATACGTTTAATTTAATTAATTACATTAAATAATTAGAATAATAAGAAACAATTTATAGCCTTTATTTGACATATTTAGTGATACAGAATAGTAATATTTATTCTCTTGCTCTTCATGTTATATTTTAACATATTTAATCTTTTTATTCACTTTTTTGTATTAGTGCTGTGTAAACATTTTATTGCACATTTATGGAAACCCTTGAAGAGATTTAGATCACGTAAATACTTGCATGTTATAATACACATTTGATCTCATCTAGTTTTATGAGAGTGTTTTTTTTTGTAGCAATATTTGTTTACAATACAGAATATGAATCACATTGTCAATAAAAAAAGATACAAGAAAGAAAGAGAAAAAAGAAAGTAAGAATAAAGAACATGATATAAACTTGAGAGTAAGGATTTAAGAATCATTTACAGTACATAAATTAAAGTCATTAAAAAATGAAATAGTTCTGTTTGCTTTCTTAATTTTAGATAATGAAATTAAATATAAATAATGACTAAATTCTTGAAAAAAAAACAGGAAAACATGGTTTGGTTTTTGTAAATTCCATATCCACAAGTGCAAATTTACAAAGTAAATAAGTTAAATTTATAATAAAACAAGCATTTCTCTTAGTAGGGGCAGATTCATAATAACCAAAAAGAATTTCTTTAAAAGTAACAAAAACATCTGGTTGTATATTATAGTTAATAAATGAGCCAATATGGTTGCAAGATTGAACAGCAATATTACAATCCCAAAATAAACCAAAAACAGTTTCAGCTGAAATTGACTAGCACTCTACATGAATATTAGCAGGCCTGGATTAAGAATTCAGAGCCCCTTGGGCACAATGTCTTGCAGGCCCCCTACCTATCCGCACCCCTATAGTTGAATTAAAACATAAGATTGATATAATATTTTTCTAATAAATGATATACAGTACATATATTTATAGTCTACAAAGATTTAACCTATTTATAAAACATTTAAAGAACACTTTGAAAAAAAAGAACTAATACAACTAATGAAAATTAATGTATTTAAATATACTTGCTAAGTTCACTGATGCAGTCAAAAAATGTATATTTAAGGGTATTTTTAATGTATAACTTCTACACTTATAATGCATATGATTTGCATATAACACCTCTCCAATCCAGTTCTATGAATCTGAGTCCTCCATAATACACACAATTATTAATGATTTCTACTTGTCTTCCTTATGATGAAGAGAAGGCAAAATCTGATGTAATGGGGGGGGGGGGGGGGGGGGGGGGGGGGGGGGGGGGGGGGGGGGGGGATGGTGAGTGAGTTCATCAGACGCTGGATTTTATGATCGATCGTGTCAAAACATGTTGCCATGCGCTTTACTATATACGCCACTCACACTGCTGTTTGCTGCTCTCTTTAGTTATGTTGTCTCTGTCAAACAAATGGTGATGGGCGAGAATCATTCATTAAAAAACTAAACAAAACAAAACTCTGCTGTTGTTTTCTGGGGATGTTTTTATTGCATAACAAGAACAATAGCATACAAAAATGAGGAATCAATGCTTACATTTTTTTCACATCTAAGGAACAAATCAGTAGAAAAAAACTAGACAAAAAAATCTAAATGAAATTACAGGGGATATAGAAATTTAAAAAAATTCACATAAGAAAAGGATTCCAAAATTGCATACATTCTTATAGCTTATATATATATATATATATATATATATATATATATATATATGTCTTTTAGGGTTTCGATATAATGCTTGGGATCAATTTTCATTCATTCATTTTCTTGTCGGCTTAGTCCCTTTTATTAATCTGGGGTCGCCACAGCGGTTTGAACCGCCAACTTATCCAGCAAGTTTTTACGCAGCGGATGCCCTTCCAGCCGCTACCCAGCTGGGAAACATCCACACACACTCATACACTATGGACAATTTAGCCTACCCAATTAACCTGTACCGCATGTCTTTGGACTGTGGGGGAAACCGGAATACCCGGAGGAAACCCACGCGGTGAACATGCAAACTCCACACAGAAACGCCAACTGAGCCGAGGATCTAACCAGCGACCCAGCGACCTTCTTGCTGTGAGGCGAACGTGCTACCCACTGCGCCACCCCCTACCCACTGGTAGTACCATATAAACAAACAAAAATGGTCCAATGATAAGCCTAATATTTATTTGTTAAAAATTGATCCTATAGGCTTGAACTGCGTCGCCTAGGATCAGTTTTTAACAAATAAATATTAGGCTTATCATTGGACCATTTTTGTTTGTGTATATGGTACTTCCCAAATATTATCATTAAATTAATAAACAAATTTTGCTCCAAAGTTTTGTTATTTTTGTAAATAAATAAAAAATATCTTGACATGAAAACTGAATTTTTAATTTTGTAAGTTTAAATATAAAATATTCAACATCAAACCAAAACATTTGGGTATATGTGCATTAAAAAAAAGCAGGTGCTTTATCGATTCCTCCTCTAATGTCTCTAAAAAGAATTTAACACCTTCTTTCACTGGATAAATTACATGTATTCGTTTATGTCACGTCTTTAACTTTATTGGTGAGACAGTATTTACTAAGTAAGTTCCAAACTTTTTTCCACTCAATTTGCTCAAATAAGGAATTCCAAAAACATTTGCATTTAGGCAACAATGTGGTTCAGCGTAACTTTTTAATGTAACAGTTATTACATTTATTGCCTATAATTTTCACACCATTGCTACTTAACTGATTAGTAAAAGATTTGATTCAGAGGATAAATGATCGGATAAGAGCTGAACAAATCCACTAGGAATTGCATCAAATACTATCGCAAATTTTTTAGCAGTTATGGTGATCTTGTAATAATTGAGGAGTTTTCTGAGGATGTCTCAAGTCAAGATGATCCCACTATGACGAAGGTTTAACTCATGAATATTAACATAGTCGTTGCTTGGTAACCTCACTGGTGTGTCCGCTTACTCGACGTCGTTAATATTCATGATCCATGCCTTTCTCGTTGTACTTATTTACAAACGTCAGTTATTCCGCCAGTCAGCGTGGCCTACGTTGCGTCGCGTAATTAATATTCATAAACCTACGTTGCGTTGCGTAATAAATATTCATCAGCAAGCCCTTCGCCGTAGTAGAATCTGCCGGTGGGTCAGCTCTGTGTGTTCGGCTGCAGGAGGAGTAACGGAGTAAACGGAGCTTTGATTCAGCTGTTGTGGCCGAAGATGGCGGCGTGTAGACGTGTTCAGCCGCTGCTGCTCCTCATGTCTGTCTGCCTGCTCGCCGTACAGTCTCTTAAACCTCCTCCGGGATTCGGGAATGTTCATCCACCGGCGCTCGCCAAGCACCAGCAGCTCAAAGCTGCGATACTGAACCCCGGGAATAACGCCGCCGCCGCTGCTGCCGCCGCCGCGTCCTCCGGTTCTCAGACCAGGAGATCCAGCAGCTGGAAACTGGCAGAAGAGCAGGCCTGCCGGGACGACGTGACCCGTCTGTGTGCGAAACACACCTGGACAAACAACCTGTCTGTGCTGGAATGCCTGCAGGACAAGAAGGAGGTGAGCTGCTGGACCCTTATCATGTTATCATGCTGATGATGACTGTGTGTAATGTGTGTGTATGTAGGATAATTGATAACACATACAAAATAATAAAAAAAGATAACAGTAAAACATTGGAGTTCCTGTAAAATAATGTTTATATGTATTTATTTGATTGTAGTATTTTTACTTTATATTTATTACTTTTACTTATATTGGTACAGATATTCATGCATAAAATAAAATACTGTAATATTATTAGACTAATATGATTCAAATATTTAAAACTATAGATATTTGGGGAAAAATATATATAAGCATTATCATGTTGATGATGACTTTGTGTGTATAAGATAATTGATAGCACACAAAATAATTGGACAGCTAATACTAGTTATAGGAAAAATGTGTAATTCTTATTGTGGGAACATAATTATAATTTTTAGATTTATTATTTATTTATATTGTATTTATTTTTATTATAGTATTTTTGCTTTATGTTGCTACACATTTTCATGCTTGCAATCTGACATGATTGAATAAACAAGTACATTTTTACACAATTATCATAAAAGCCATGCAAAAAGTATTTCTGCAATATTATTTGACAATAATATGATTCAAATATTCAAATTTATAGTTGTTTTAAAAATCTGTATAATGATTATTATGACTAATGTGTGTGTATAGGATAATTGTTAACATACAAAATAATAAAAAAGATAATAGAAGTTGTAAAAGTATAACTGTAATATTAATTTATTAATATTATTAGACATTAATATGATTCAAATATTTGTTTATAGTTATTTGAGAAAATTATATATCATTTGCAATTTGAAATCAGATTTTTAAACCTCCTGAATGATTACCCCCCCTGTTTATTTTGTCCTAATTTCTGCTTAACAGAGAGAATTTCACATTTCTAAACATCACAGTTTTAATAACTCATCTCTAATAACTGACTTATTTTACCTTTACCCTGAAGACATTAAATAATATTTTACTACGTATTTTTCAAGATAGTAATATTCAGCTTAAGGTAACACTTAATGGCTTAACTAGGTTAATTAGGTTAACAAGGCACACTTTACAAAAAATTCATAATTTTACGATTTATTTCCAGCAGCTGGGGTGCTGTAAAAAAAACGTAAAATAACAACCGTTACATTACAAAAATGTACTGTAAAATAACAGAGGTTGAATTACAGGAATTTAACAGAAATTAAAATTTAAGGAATTTTTTGTAATTTAATATTCATAATTTTTAGGTATATTTCTGTAATTTACCGGCCGTTATTTTATGTTTTTTTCCGTCTTCCCAGTTGCTGGGAATAAACCATAAAATTACGTATTAAAAAATATTATCAGACATACTCTGAAAATTTCCTTGCTCTGTTAAACATCATTTGGAAAATATTTAAAAAGGGAAAAAAATCAAATAGGGGCTAATAATTCTGACTTCAACTCTATAAGTTGATGATGACTGTGAAATGTGAAGCCTATATATCAGATAATTGTTAACACATACAAAATAATAATAATATAATGCTAGTTGTGCAGTGCTTATTGCAGAAACATAATTCTATATTTTTAAATTGATTAATTTACTGTTAAGTAATATATACTTATATTGGTTTAAATATTCAGGAAATCAGCATGTCTACAATAGACAAATGATAATCAATGATGATAATAAAAACATCAATAATACATTTGTTGTATTTATTAGTATCAGTTGTATTCTTAATCATAACACCACACGGTTAAAATAGTTGGGTTAAAAATACACCAACATATAACCCAACTATTGGTTGTTATAGCACCTTCCCAACTATGGCCTATTTTAACCCATTACACTGGGTTATTTAATTTAACAAATTGAGTTATTAAATAAATAACCCAATGATGGTTAAAAAAAACCTGACAAAGCACCAAATATTTAACCCAACTGGTTGAATTATTAATAAATAACCCAATAAAGGTTAAACAATAAGCCAACAAAGCACCAAATATTTAACCCAACTGGTTGAGTTATTAATAAATAACCCAATAAAGGTTAAAAATAACCCATTCATTCATTCATTCATTTTCTTGTCGGCTCAGTCCCTTTATTAATCCGGGGTCGCCACAGCGGAATGAACCGCCAACTTATCCAGCAAGTTTTTACGAAGCGGATGCCCTTTCAGCCGCAACCCATCTCTGGGAAATAAAATTAACCCAACAAAGCACCAAATATTTTTAAGTCAATCATTCGAATAAATAAATAACTCAACATTTTTAGAGTTCAATAATGATAAAAATCAATAACATTAAGAATTTCAAAATATCTTTATAATTATTTAAGTATTTATTAATATTATTTATTATCATCATCATTATTATTATTATTATAAACCTTTGTTAATTTCACACAAGGGAAGGAAACGATACAAGATACCTTCATCTAAACTCCCATTAAACATGTGAGTTGAGTTATTAGCACAATATATTATTCATTTAACAGGTGACATTAAAGGCTCAGTGAAATGTCATGACCACAAAGGTCAATAATTCCCGATAAAAGTTCATGTTTATCTCAATGCAGGTTGTCAGTCCTGCTGCCGGGTTGTTTTCAGCCAATCATTTGAGCTGTAAATAACACATGACTAATTACTGCAGGAAAATAACATCCCGACAACAATAAAAGCCCTTCACTATAGTGACCACAGTCAGAGCTTTTGTCTGATTGAATGAATATGCAGATGTATATGCAAACGCTGTTATTTTTTCTCTCTGACTTTCATACAGCTGCACAAGCACTTTAATGTGGACTGGATTCATTTATGAAGCTTAAGGTCTACTAACTAGATTTGAGTTTTGTGTTTTGCTGCGCTGTGCAGGTTGACACAGTGACCCAGTTGTGTGGATGGGGAAATGATTACAGGATAACTTTTGTCTCATGACTGCTGGGGCCTTGTGATAATGTTTTATTTGAGCTTGAAATGATCAACCGTAGGGCGGCACAGTGGCTCAGTGGTTAGCTCTGTCGCCTCACAGGAAGAACATCGCTGGTTTGTCAAGTCAGCTGGGATTTCTGTGTGGAGTTTGCATGTTCTCCCCGTGTTTTGCGTGGGTTTCCTCCGGGTGCTTTGGTTCCCTCCCCAGTCCAAACACATGCGGTATAGATGAATTGGGTAAGCAAAATTGTCCATAATTGTCCATAATGTATGTGAGAATGTGTTTCCCATTATTGGGTTGCAGCTGGAAGGGCATCTGCTGTGTAAAACATATGGTGGATAAGTTGGCGGTTCATTCCACTGTGGCGACCTCTAAAATAGAGACTAATGCATAAACGTATTAATTAAATTTGCGTAAATTTGGACAAAATTTGTCCTCCATAAATTTTTTTTGAGTTTGTTTTGTTGATCCAAAACAGCTCACCAAAGCGAACTTCTTGGGGGAGTTCATTTTGGTCCTAACAATCTTAGAGCTTCCATTGGTTAGTGATGACTATGCGATCGGTGGGTGTGTTTGAAGCTCCGCCTTCTTTGGCGTGCTTCATATTCTCTCAGTTTATAAACAGGAGAAAAACATCCAGCACAACAACAACAACAAGTGAGCAATGGGAATACACTGGAGGGTCAGGTTGACAAAGTATATGTTTTCTCGGAAATGGAAAGTAATGTCTTACTTTAGTTACCTCCTAAAAGTAATCTGATTACATAACCCAAGTAACTTGTAATGCATTATCCCCAAAAATTAGTTTAACTGTTTTTTTTTTTTTTTTTTTTGTTTTTTGTTTTTTTTTTAATATGTTAGTCAGAGAGCTACAGCATTAGGTACACAGAATCATTAGACATCAACTGCTCCAATGTGGTGTTGAAATACAATTTTGCTCACATTTTCTTTCTCTCTGAATAAAACAATATAATTACATATTCATACAATAAGGAAAAACAACAACAAAAAAATCAACAACAGTACAGAGAATAAATAAATACAAATGCTCAAAGGGTACAACAGTAGAAAATAAAATAATAATATATATTTAAAAAAAATAGTAATTAAAAAAAAAATACTTCCCAAAAAGTAATGAGTAGCATTACTTAGTTACTTTTTAATGAAAGTAATGTGTTATTTTTTTTAGTTACTTTTGCGTTACGTTTCCTTACCTGGCAGAGGCTTGATCTCTTTCAGATTGTTCGGGTTTTTTCTTCTTTTTTTAATAGAGGAGCTCTGCAATAACAACACACTGTTTAACTTTCATTTACCTTTAAAAAAAAAAACATAAGAAGTAATAATTTTGAAGAATGTTGTCTTCTGATAACTTTCAAACCCCAGAACTAAACGTGTTGTATATGTAGATTAATGAAAGTTTAAAGCAATGTGTTTGCTACTTTTGTACTTTTTGTCTTTTTTAAAGTCACCGTTCATTGAGACAATCGTCTTTTTTCTTCTTCGATGGGTTCAGAATAAAGAGAATACTTTCAATGCAGAAATGTAAGGCTCTGCCATTTTTGTTTTACGGGAAGCACATTAATTTAACTAAGCTAATTAAATAAACTAATTAAATAAACTAAAAAGGAACTCTCAGTACTTTAAAAAAACTCAAATATTATAACTCAGTATTTTAAAGTAATGCGTTACTTTGCTTGTTACTTAGCAAAGTAATCTAATGTAACTCGTGCTACTTTTAATGCATTAGCCTCAACACTGAATAAGACTTTGTGCAAATTCAGCTAAATCTGGAGAATATGAAAAGGCAAATGTTTGCTCATCAGTGTCCATGACTTGCTAAATGCTTTTGCCAATTAGTTATTAGTTAACTTCATCAATCTTAATCTGTATGCACATTAATGACATTCATGTATAATCAACCATTGTTAAGGTGTATCGATTAAAGGATTTGGCCAATAGTCATTCATCAATTAATCACTGGGGTCTGTCTCTAGCATGTGTCCTTCATATATTTTTAGTGTTCAATTAGTAAAAGAAAACTGAACTTTATCTGTAGGGTAGATCTTGATTTGATAAAT